AAAACATATACGTTATATGCTCTTTATATATACATTAAAACTCACATCAGCTGGGCGGTGGTGGCGCATGCCTTTAATGCCAGCACTCGGGAGGCAGAGGCAGGAGGATCTCTGTGAGTTTGAGGCCAGCCTGGGCTACAGAGTGAGTTCCAGGAAAGGTGCAAAGCTACACAGAGAAACTTTGTCTCGAAAAACAAAACAAAACAACAAACAAAAAAAAAAACCAACCCCCCCACAAAACCCCTCATATTAGTTTCTATGCTCCAAACCTATAGAGTTACTCACATATCAATGGCTATAGATGAATCTCGAACTCAGTTCAAGTGTGTCCTTTTCAAGGAACACGATGCAGAATACTTCATTTAAAAAATATGCCCCTGTCACTCTTAAGTCTTTGCTTCCATGTTTATTTGATAATTGAAGTATCTACTTTTTGATATTTATATTTTCTGGATAGAACACACAAATATGTTATTATTTATCAGTATTGAGAGGGTCATTAACAAGAAAGTGTATTTTGACCAATGACCAACTTCTTTGTTAGTGCTGGGGATGGAACCAGCACCTTGTGGACACTTAGCAAGGGCTTTACCAATGACTGAGCTTCATCTCCCTGTGAACACAGACACATATGTACACTTTCCTTAGCCAAAAAGACAACACTCTTCAGCCATGTCTCTTTTTCTCCCGTTAGTAAAAGAATTGATTTTACTTTCCTTTTTAAAAATATTCATACATGCATATGATGTGTTTGGGTTGAATCCACCCCCATTCCACATGGACTTCACCATTCTCAACATCTTTTATCTTATGATGTGGTTTAGACAATTAGGTAAGGATCCACTCACTCATATTATTTATATATATTTCCATCGATCCTTCCATTCACTTTCAATAATTGTACTTCACACTTTTTTAGTGATAGAAAAAAATCATTTTTATTGAAAATATATTTTTATACAATATATTTCTATTACAGTATCCTCTCCACCAACACCTCCCAGATCCTCCCCATTTACACACCCACCCAAATCCATACCTATTCTTTCATTCTTTAATTAGAATAAAAGCAAGCATCTAAAGTGATGGGGAGGAGGAAGAGAAATAAAAAAAAAACAGAAGAAGAATCACAAGAAACAAATACAGATGCTGAGGCACATACATTCACATACATAGAAAACTCTTCAAAAATAAAATCAGATACCATAATAGATAATCAAAATGTCCTTAGGGTAAAAAAAATACCCAGCAAATCATTGCACATCACAAAAGCTTCCAAAAATGCCATTGAGTTCATTTTGTGTTGACCATCTGAGCCAACACATCTGAGGGTGTTTTATATATCAAGTGAGATTCCATTGGAGAAATACAGTTTTTCCTTTGGGAGAGTTTATCAATTAGAGATAGCTTCTGGTTAGGGATATGGGGTTGTGTCCACTTCCCCTCTCAGCGCTGGGAGCTGATCTGGCTTAGACCTGTGCAGGCCTCTGTATGCTGCCACGGTCTCTATGAGTTCATATCTGCATCAGTTCTGTTGTATCTAGAAGGCCTTGCTTCCTTGGTGTCTTCCATTGCACAGGTTCGTATAATCTTTTCACCTCCTCTTCCACAGGGTTCCCTGATCCCTGAAGAGAGGGATTTGATGGAGACATCTCAGTTAGAACTGAGTGTTCCAACATTAAAGGGAATACTTTTAAAAATAGCATATTCAGGCAAATGAGATGTTACTACTCTAATAATGTGCCCACCACAGAGGCATCTGCCGGCATCTGCACCACATTGATGAATAGGGGCACAAAACAAAAAAGGGGCTTGAAAACATGGTGCCATGTCCTTGCTCAGTTTGCTCCCTCATTCAGATGTCTGGTAGCTTTCCTAACCGCAGATGACTGCACCTGTGTGCTCAGCACTGCTATTCATTGGTCTATTCATTGGTCTGTTCATTGGTCTATTCATTGGTCTATTCATTGGTCTATTCATTGGTCTACTCATTGGTCTATTCATTGGTCTATTCATTGGTCTACTCATTGGTCTATTCATTGGTCTACTCGGATTCCTAGTGATTCCTCCACGGACTACTTTCAATCAGTAGCCAAAAAAAAGGGAACATTCTTAAAGATTGTTTTTCTTTATTTCTTTGTTTCTGTGGTACTAAAGATAGAACCCAAGGCTTCACACATCCAAGGCAAGAGTGCTACTACTGAATTAGCAACTGCCCTTGTCCCCATGGCATCCTTAACTGGTTTCATTGTTTTTAATTTATGCTGATAGACTGTCTTTCTTCATGACATTTTCATAATTGAATGATGCTTTACCAATGATATGAACATTTGTTTACTGACCCTTTCTCTAATGTTAATATATAAAATTATAATGATAGAATAAAAGCACACGAACACTACCCTTGTATCTTTTCACCAGCTTACTAATAGAAAATTACCAACTGCGGTAGTGACTCAAGTTTCCTTTGATTTAGACTTTTGAATCTAAGATATCTGGTATTCACCATGTGAAAATTATAGGTGGTGGTAACCAGGCATTTTTTTTTATTGGTTCAGGTCAAACCTTGTAAAATATTGTATATGAACATATGTTTATGGTTGATGACAACTGCTGTTTACTGACCATTGTAAGCACATCACATATCTACATGCAATATCCTCTAGGAAAACATTTAAAAGGTGATCTGTAATTATTACTCACAATTGTAGCTGGGATCCTAAAAACACAGGCAGCCTAAGAACTCAGGAGCAGGCAGGATCCATTTATTGTTCTGAAGCTGGCATTTCTGAGAAGTACAGAGAGACAAGAGAGGACTGAGATGCTGTTCTGCCCATTCAGTTTCCCTATCAATTATCCAAAAATGGTTACTTTCTCTTCAGAAACAGAAGAGCACTGAATTTTCTACTAATAAGCACATTGGCCATTACTTCTGTAATCCATGTCATCAGACAGAAGGAATGTATTGGAACTGCTTATAAAAAGCTAACACTTCCAATATATAGTAGTAATGACTTCCATGCTCATTCTATAACTTTAATAATAGTATGATGCCCCCTGACTTACATTTCTATCCTATGAATCTATTGATTCTTCAGGGATTTATTTGCAATATAGCCAAAATCCATTAACACTACCAGCAAGGACATAATGTGTCCTCTATTCACACATCTGTGTAGAGAACCACTTCTAAGAGTCAGTGTGGACCTCAGACTTCTAGAACTGTAATCATGATGTATGACTCATAGGCTACCAGTGGTCATCGTTGACCCAAGATAGGTCTTTTCCTTTTCCATTAATTTCTACATTTGTTTATTAATTAATCTACAATTTTCCTAATAACATTTAGGTGACTGTTAATCACAAAAAAATTAAGAATATGATCCTTAAGCCATCTAGAGCATCTTTCACTACATTGAGGAGATCTCTTTTTTCTTTTTTTGTGCTCAATTATACAAGTATTGATTAATCAGCATAATGTATGATGGTCATTGATTATTTCTTAGTCAGCCATAGTTGGCCCTAGTGGATTCTGAATGATGCTTAATCTTAAAGAACCTCCCAAACTAAGTCAAGGGATTTTACCATACTCACATTGGTCTCTGTGTTCCTGACACATAGGCTAACTGTGGAATTGGTGACCAGAAGATGAATATCATTCAGAAAGCATCTATGCTGATAGTACAAAAAAGAAAAATTGCAAAAAAATTATATTCATCCATTTATTCTTTGATTTCGTCTTCCATTTTTAAGTCAATAGGGTAGGAACTATATTGTCATAGTTTGGATTACTTGATAAAACAATAATGAATACTCAAGACCTGAACAAAACAAGGACTCACCATTATTTTTACTAAATGCATTGTTCTTAGCTAGTTATACCATTAAGCCATTCATTTCTAAACATTATGTCTTCCATGCTTATTACTATTTCTCAACTGGCATGATTCCCATGCTGAACAATGCTGAGCTGCTTGATTTTTATTTATATATTTGCATAAAGATTCTTTAATTGACCCAATTTTAAAAACAAAATGAAATCCAAATATTGAAAATATGAATAACATACATGACCATACCTAACAAGTCGTCTAGAATAAACACATATACACTAGATGCCTTAAGGTATGGAACTCAGACTTCCAGACCTGTTGTCATGATCCACGGCTCATACCCAACAAGATGTCATCACTGATCCAACCTTGGCCTCTAGTTTCTCTGATGAACTTATATCATTCTTTTTCAGCTGGTTATTTATTCACTAGTGAAAACCATATAATTATGAATCATGAAAACAAGCTATATGTAGGCTGCTTCATGCCTTTATATCAATCTTAATTTCAAAATATTCATTAGCCAACCAAGTGTTTCATGGCCACACTGTATTTCTCACTGGGCCATGGGTCCTTGGATTCCATGTAATGCCTTTATGAAAATAGGGCAAAGAGTTAAAACCAAGACAAGAATTTTGACTCACGTTGGTCCCTATGCTCCATGAACCTGGTGATCAGTGATGAAGGCATCTATTCTGAGAGTACAAAATAAAACAAAATATGAAGGGATCCTTATTCTGTCTCTGTTCATTTGCATGTTATCTTTCATTTCATTAGTCATTCAAGAAAGGCCAACTCAAAAAGAGCGAAATGATATATTTGGAAGTTTTTAATGTCATAATGCTTTGTCTGAGCAATTTTAAGCTTGCCGGTCCTAAATTTATATATTATTGTTTCCAATTTTGTGTTTTGTATGGGTTTGCTGAGTGTATGTTTGTCTCCACATGTAGAGGTACTTCATTTGCTTTTTCTTTAGTTTATATGGCATCAGTTAAACATGCTGTCAGAATAAATTACCTTGTTTTGTATATATAATTAGAATTCAAGCTACAAAAATATGACTTAATTGGTAAAAGCCTTATGAAGGTATTTTTACCTAATTATAAAAGTAGAAAATTATTCATATCTGCAACTATGATCATGGATATAAGCTAGCTCTTTTATGATGTGGACCTCAGACTCCCAGATCTATAGTCATGATCCACAACTCATATGGCACCAATGGTCATCACAGATCCAGCCAGCAGCAGCACTCCTTTGCTCAATTAATTTCTGCATGTTTGTTGAGCAATTGGCTACAAGTACTATTGAGATATTATGAATCATAAATATCTCAGGACAAGATCTACGACTTTATTTGAAAGCTACTCTGATTTTTTAGACATGATGAAGATCTAATTTCACTGCACATTCTTTATTTGACAATTGTATTTTCAATGTTGTGCTTCATGCACATGCCTCATTTTTCCTTTGGCCATGGATGCTCTTCCAGGATAGTAAGAAGTCTTATATCAATACAAGAACAGCCATTAAAAGCAACACAAACCAACACAAGAATACTTAATGTACTCACACTGTATCTATTATTACGAACCCAAAGAGCTAATCATGAAGATCACAACCAAAGGAGAATGTGTAAATCAACTTTGGGGGAAATCCATCCCTAGAGTACAAAGCAAAAGAGAATATAAAAAGAATGACACTCTGTTCACTGATCCATGCACTCTGTTACTTGCCTTACTACCCATCTCTTATCTCATCTTTTATCACTCATTTAATTATGTGTGACATGGTGATATGTTCTTTATGGGGGAAAAATTAGACATGGTTGTCACCTTACCAAGAACATAGACTATAGTTATAATTCATGTGGTATCCTCAGACATGCTGTAAGAATAAACTATTATATTCAGTCCTATTAGCCCTCTTGGTATGGGATTCTGTCTAATTAAAACATGCCAAAATGGTTGGGGAAAACCCATGAGGCCTCAGCCCTACACAAAGAACAACAAGCAACTGAAGAATTCTGAGATTGGAAGAAATAGTCTTCAGGGAAGAGCACACCAATTGTTATCCAATACTAAAAGGTCAGCCCTGAAAATATATGTATGAGTAATGGCATATAAAATGAGCAGATTGTATTTATAATGTGTGTGTGTGTGTGTGTCTGTACATGTACATGTAATGTACATGCATGTAACAGCATGAATTTGAGTAAGGCCAAGGAGAGGTATATGAGAAGATTTAGAGGAAAGAAAGAGAAAGGAAAATGATATAATTAGATTATAATTTTAAAAAATTTAAATTTCTTAACAACTCACCTTTATTCATATTTTTATTAAGTGTAAAAGTGGATTATCTGCTACTAGGTTCATGGGTATAAGCTAGATAATTGATGATGTGGACCTCAGACTAAGACTTGAAGTCACGATCCGACTCATAAGCTACCCACGGTCATCATTGATCCAACATCATCCTTCCTTTTCTCTATGAATTTCCATGTTTGTTGAATGATAACTCATTATTACTTTTGAAATAATCATCGATCGCAAATATCTGAGGCAAGATCCCTGAGTACACTTCAGTACTATTCAGGATCTTTTGCCACATTGTGTATCTCTTTGGTAATACAATCTTAGTTGGGCACAAATTTTTGAAACATTGTTTTTCACCCAAATGCCATGCTGATAGTTTGGCCATAGGTGTGCTTCTAGATGACAAGAAGCACGTCATCAATACAACAAAGAGTCTGTAAATGAATATTGACTATACTCACACTGTATCTATCCTATGAACACAAACAGCAGATCAAGAAGCTCATGACCAAGGAACAATGTGTAAAATCAGCTTGGGGGTATCTGTTCTGAGGGCACAAGACAAAAGAGAATACAAAAAGATTGATTTACTCACTGCATAAACAAACATTACAGAGGCTTTGAGCCTACTGACAACATTGCCTATGATTTTACTTCACGTGGCTTCCTCAGTCATTATGAATGAGTGAAGTATTTTGCATGTATTATTATACACATGTTCTGTAGTTAGGTTTTAATTGGAATGTGCCTTGACAATTTATTTGTATTTACATTTTTGTCCACTTGTTACAGTAGACTATCACTCATATTTTCTACCAGGTCATGGGGGTAAAGTAGATATTTTATGATGTGGACCTCAGACTCCCAGACCTGTAGTCATGATGCACGACTCATACGGCACCAGTTGTCATCACAAATCCAGCATCAGCTCCTCCTTTCTTGATTAATATCTGCATTTTTATTGAGTTGGGGATAATTACAAATCACAAAAATCTAAAGACAATATCCATAAGTATACTTTAGTATCTCTTGCTGTGCTGAGAATCTTTTTTGTTACATATTCTTAAATGGACAAAGTTTATGAAACACTGTGTTTCATCTACTTATGATGTTAGCCATTTGGCCATGGTTGTTCTTCTAGAGGGGAAGCATTTCATTAATTCAGTGGACAGTCTTTAAAAGTAATCCAAACCAATACATGACCACTGACTATACTCACTCAGTGTCTATGCTCCGAACATAAGTTTCACATCCTGAAGCTCACAACAGAAGGAGAATGTAGCAAATCAGCTTTGGGGAATGCATTCTGAGAGTAAAAAAGAAGAAAATATAAAAAGATATTCTGTATACGTATGCATACATTATGTTATCCCTCTCTCTTATTACTTATATAAGTGCTTATTACTGTTTGATGTGTTCCTCTGAAGCAATCAAATGGCCACAGCCCTGGCTCTACCATGAACATTGCCAATGATTTTAGGTCATATGTTACACTAAATCAAGAATATGAATGGACTTCTGTGTTTGGCACATATATTTAGTATTTTGCTGTGGAAATTATAACTGAATTGGAAATTTACTTAATCAGTTTATTTATATTTTATCTAACTGTAAAAGTATACTATTCCTAACATATGTTATTAAGATCATGTGTATATGCTATTTTATGACGTGGATCTCAGACTCCCAGACCTGTAATCATGATCCACAATTCATATGGCACCAGTGTTCATCAGTGATCCAACATTAACCCTCTTCTTTTCTATTAAATTATGCATTTTTTTGAATAACTGATCACTAGTACTATTGAAATAATCATAAAAAACTAATGATCTGATTATTGAGTATACTTGAGAGTTCCTCAGGATTTTGCAATGTTGAGTATCTATTGTGTTATCCATTCATAATTTGACTAAATATTATTAAATACTGAGTTCATGCACATTGCATATTGATCATTTGGCAATGACTGCTCATGTCGAATGATAAGCAGTCTTTATCAGTACAGGAGCAGCCACTAAAAGCAACATGAACGAACACATGAACATTGACTATACATACACTCTGTCCATATTATGAGCCCAAAGACATGACCATGAAGCTCAAGACCAATGAAGTGTGGAGAAATAAGCCTGGGGGTTTCCATTCTGAGAGTATAAAGCAGAGGAGAGTATAAAAAGATTGACATTCTGTCTGCTTTCAATATCCATCTCCTCTTACCACTCTTACCACTCATCTGACAATGCAATACCAGATTACGTGTTCTTTTTGAGAAAACAAGTAGCTGAGGCTCTGACTCGACCTAGAATATTGCTTCTAATTTTAGCTCATGTGGCATAATCTGTCATCAAGTTTGATTGAACTACTATGTTTGAAATGTATTATTAGTACTCTTCCTGAACAATTATGCCTTGATTAGAAAATGCATTACCAATTTACTTTTATTTATATTTTATCTAATTGCTAAAGTAAACTACTCTTTTTTTTTTTTTTTTTTTTTTAAAGATTTATTTATTTTGTATACAGCATGTATGACCAGAAGAGGGCACCAGATCTCATTACAGATGGTTGTGAGCCACCATGTGGTTGCTGGGAGTTGAACTCAGGACCTCTGGAAGAGCAGTCAGTGCTCTTAACCTCTGAGCCATCTCTCCAGCCCTAAAGTAAACTACTCTTAACATCTATTACTAAAAGCATGGGTATATGCTAGATATTTTATAGTGTGGAACTCAGACTTCCAGACCTGTAGTCATGATCCATGACTCATACGCAAGAAGAGGTCATCATTGATCCAACATCAGCCCTCTGCTTCTCTAGTAATTCATGTGTGTTGAATGAGGAACTGATCACTAGTACTACTGAATTTATTATGAAATAAAAATATAAGGACAAGATCTTTAAATATACTTCAGAGATCCTTGGGATCTTTTGCCATGGTGAATCTCTTTTGTTACATAATCTTCATTACCAACAGTCTTTGTGTGTCATGCACCTGTCATATTAACCCTGTAGTGACAATTGCTCTTCTCGGGCAGTGCACAACTTTGCAAAGCACACAAAGCTAACAGAAGAACATTGACAATACTCACACAGTGTCTATATTGTGAGCACAAAGAGCTGATCAAGAAGCTCACAACCAAGGAAGAGTGTGTAAATCAGCCTGCAGGTGTTTATTCTGGCAGTACAAAGCAGAAGAAATTATAAAAAGATTGATATTAGCTTCACTCATCCAGGCAGTCTGTCTGTGTGTCTTTCCCCTTTCTTTTTAATTCTCATCTAAGTGTCATTATGCTATTTCTTGTTCTTCTTCACAAAACAAATGCCAGTGCCTCTGACCCTACCAAGAACATCAGCTTTAATTATAGTTGATAAGGCAATCTCAACTATACTATTAGGAAAACTGCTTTGTTTTAGTATATATGATTAGTAGTAGTCCCATAGAACCATATCAACTTTAAAAATGCCTTACCAACATACTTAGTTTTTATATAATTGTAAAAGTAGACTACCACTCATATTTGCTTCTGGGATGTGATACATAATCTACATATTTTATGATGTAGACCTCAGACTTCCAGACCTGTACTCATGATCCACGAATCATATGCCACCCATGGTCATCATTGATCCATCATCAGCCCTCTCCTTCTCTATTAATATCTATACTATTATTGAGCAATTGGTCAATAAAAATATATTATTAAGATAATTATGAATCACAAAAATTCTAAGGAAAATATCCTTGAGTAGATATTGAACATCTACAGGGTCTTTCACCCTCTTGAGCATTTGTTTAACTTTAAATTTTTAATTTGGTAAAATGTTGTTAGGCACACTACTTCACACAGAAGCTTAATTTACCATTTGGAAAAGGTTGTTCTTCTAGAGGAAGAGCAGTAGTTCAACAATAGTGTACGTAGTCTTTAAAAGTAACCAAACCCAAGACATGAACATTGACTACACACAACCGTGTGTGTCTTAGGATCACAATGACCAGAGCAGGAATCTCACAAGCAAGGAAGAATATATACATCAGCTTGGGGTTATCCATTCTAAGAGTACAAAGCAGAAGAGAACACAAAAAGATTGATATTTACTTGATTTATCCATGTATTATGTCTACTTTAAATTACTCCTCTCCTGATCAGTTCTCTATGTATATAATACAATACCTTGTGTTCTTTTTAAGAAAACCAACAGCCATGGCACTGACCCTCCCAAGAACATTGTTTATAGTTTTAGTTGATATGGCATGATATTCTCAGCCATCATATCCAAAGGAACTAGTGTTTGGTGTCCATTTTAGTACTATAGTTGTAAAATTATGTCTTGATTAAAAAATGACTTCCAAATTAATTTTTATAATATTTTATCTAATTATAAAAGGAAACTACTTTTAATACCTGTCACTAAGATAATGGGTATATACTAGGTATTTTATGATGTGGGCCTCAGATTTTGAGACCTACGGGAACAATCAACAACACATAAAATAGCAGTGGTCATCATTAACCTAACATCACCCCTCCACTTCTTTTTGATTTATGAGCAATGGACCACTAATACTACTGAGATAATTATACATCACAATAATCTAAGGACAAGATCCTTGAGTATACTCCAGAGTTTCCAAGGATATTTTGCCATGATTAGTGTCTGTTTTGTTTTACACTCTTTATCTTGAAAAAAGTTTTAAACATTGTATTTCACCCACATGCCATATTAACCCTTTGATGATGGCTGTTCTTCTCAGATAATAAGTGGGTTTTTTTAAAATCAATATATGCACCATCACTAAAAACAACGTGAGCCAACACATCTATACCCTCTACTTGCATGTCTTGCCACTTTCTTCTTACCCTTCATCCAATTATCTATTGTATTAATATTTCTGTTTCTTGAGAAAACAAATAGCCATGGCTCTGACACACCATCAACATGCTTTAATTATCGTTTATATGACATCCTTAGTCATATATTGATATATATAATTAGGACTCTTCCTGTGAAGTTATGTCTTAATTGGAATATATGCTACAAAATTGTATTTATATTTTAAACCAACTGTAAGCATAGATTATTACTCATAATTGCTGCCAGAGATTATGGTATAAGCTAGAAAATATGATGTGAACCTCAGACTCCCAGACCTGTACTCATGATCCATGAATCATATGCCACCACTGGTCATTGATCCAACACCAGCCCTCCTCTTTTCTATTAATTGCTATGTGTTTTTGAGTAATTATTCATAATATTAGGATAATTATGAATCACAAAAATCTAATGACAAGGTCTTTGAATATAATTCAGACCTCTGTAGGATCATTTGTCCTATTGAGTTAATCAATTAAGATTTATCTAATCTTAATTTGGGAAAACTTTGTTAAACATTGTGCTTTTCACACAATTGCCATGTTTATCATTTTGCCTAGATTGCTCCTCCATATTATATGTAGTGCTCCACCAGTACAATGAGCAATCTCTAAGTGACATAAACCAAGACATGAACACTGACAATACCCACACATTGTCTATCCTACAAACACAGAGGCTAGATCACGAGGATCAGTTCCAAATCAGATAGCATAAAATCAGCTTGCAGGATATCCATTCTGAAAGTATAGAACAAAAGAGGTTATAAAAAGATCAACATTCTGTTCTCTCATCCATGCGAGCTATCTGCTTCTCTTGCCCATTTCTTCTTATCCCTTATCTAAGTGTTCATTACTCTATGAGGTTTTTTTTCTTAAGAAAACAAATGGTTATAGATATGCCCCTACCAAAAACATTGCTACAATTTTACTTTATTTGACATCCTAGTCATCATTGGTGAATATACTACTGGGTTTTGGTATGTATAAGTTACACTTTTGTGGAATAATGTCTTGATTGGAAAATGAGTTAATAATATTTATTTACATTATATTTTATTATTATATTACTTTATAATAATATTAATATTCATATAATTGTAAAAGTAGACTATTCCTTACATCTGTCACTGAGATCATGGATAATATACCAGCTATTTTATGATGTGAACCTCAGACTCCCAGACCTGTAGTTATGATCCACAACTCATACAACACACTCAATCATCACTGCTCCAACATTAGCCCTCCTCTTCTTTATGAATTTACATTTATTAAGCAATTGATCATTGTTACAATTGAGATAATTTTGAGTCACAATAAAGCTAAGTACGAAATTCTTGATTATACCATCCTAGGATCATTTGCAGAGGTGAGTGACTTTTTTATTACACGTTCTCAATTTGGCAAAATTTTCTTAGACATTGTGTTCCATCCACATGCCAGATGATGAATAGTCCCTTTGTCAATTCAGGAACAGTCATTAAAAGCAACACAAATCAAGAAAAGAACACAGGATCTACTCACACAGTCTTTATTTTTCATACATGAACAGTGAACTTCAAACTTCAGGACTAAGGAAGAATACATAAAACAGCTTGGAGGTATCCATTCTGAGAGTATAAAGCAGAAGAAATTATAAAAAAGATTGGCATTCTGTTTACATATCCATGCATTTTGTCACTTCTCTTGCTCATTCATTCTTATCATCCCTTATCTAAGTATTCATTACTCTATGGTGTACTCTACTTAAGAAAGACAATGGCCAAGGCTTTGGCCCTACCATGAACATTGCCAATGATTAAAGCTCATGAGGCATCCTCAGTCATCATGTCTGAATGAACTACTCTTTAGTATATACATTTAGCATTATTGTGATGGGATTATATCTTAATTAGAAAAGGACTTCTAAATTTGTTTTTATTTATATTTTACCTAATTATCACTAAGATCTCTCACTAAGATAATAATATACACTGGATAGATTGTGATGTGAACCTCAGACTCCCAGACCTGTAGTCACAATCTATGACTCATATAGCACCCATGGTCATCATTGATCCAACATCAGCCTTCCTCTTCTCTTTTAATTTAGGCACATTTATTGAGCAATTGATCACTAGTACTACTGAGATAATTTTAGCTCACAAAAAAAAAATCTAAGGACAAGACCCTTAAGTATAATACAGAGTTCCTCCATATCTTTTGCAAGGACCTTTTTCATTATATATCCTTAATTGGACAACATTTTATCCAATCCTGTGTTTCAAACACATACCACATTCACTATTTGCCATGGTTGCTCTTATCAATACAGTAAATGGCCTTTCGAAGCATCATGAAGTGACATCAGAAGGCAGACTGTATTTACACTGTGTCTATTTTACTGTCTGAAACAGCTCATTATGAGGCTCATGACCAAGGCAGAGTGTGAAAATCAGCTTGGGTGTGGACTCCATTCTAAGTACAACACAGAAGAGATCATTAAAAAAATGACATTTTCTTCACTCACTCATGCACTCTGCTTGCATGAATTAATATCTCTTTTTATTACAAACCTAAATATGCATGATACTGTGGTATGCTCTATTAAGAATAAAACACTGGGCATAGCTCTGATAAAATAAAGAAGGTTGCTTATAATTTTACTTCATGTGGAATCCTCAGTCGTCCTGTGATTCATAAGCTACTGTGTTCATGAATATATTATCAGTACATTTAATAATATATTTACTAATACATTATTAGAACATTTACTGTGGAATTATTTTCCCAAACATATTTTTATTTTATCTATATAAGTATTTTTATCTGCATGCATACATGTGTATCGAATGGGTATGATGCCTACAAAGGCCATAAGAAGGTAACAGATTCCCTAGAACTAGAGTTACAGGCAGTTGTGGGATGCTATGTTGGTGAATGAACCCAACGTGGGTCATATGTAAGAGCAGCTAGGTCATCTATCTACTGAGCCATCTCTCAAGCCCTAGAATTATTTTTTAGTTGGAAAGTGTCTTACCAATTTAGTTTTGTTAATATTTGTTTCTAATTATAAAAGATTATTCCCAGCATCTGTCACTAAGATTATGGGTATAGATTAGATCTTTTAGGATGTGTACATTAGAGTCCAAGACCTATAGTCATGATCCAAGCCTCATTATGGCACCCACGGTAATCTTTGAACCAATACCAACCCTTAAAATCTACTATTTTAATTTCTATATTTGTTTCTTGACTAATCCATCATTTTACATGTAGAGTCCTGTGAGTTGCAGGGGCCTAAGAATGAGATCTTTATGCATGCTTCATAGCCATGCATGTGACCTATTTTTGCATTTCCAGAGTGATTGTTACTTTTGTACATACTAACTAAGCAAGATTCCACCAGCAATGCTGAATTTATCAATCAGCTGTTACACCCATTTAATGACATAAAAATTAGTCTATATGCTCTGAATACATAGACCTTGGGAACAAAGAAAAATGCAACAGTGCCCTGGGGGCATTAATTCTAAGAGTGCAAAGCAGAACAGATTAAAATATATGCATTGCACCTGATCATTTTTACATTTCTCTTTCAATGTCATTAACCTTGAAGGAGTTAAATTCTGGGGAGATCTTTTGTTTTGTTTTCTTTTTCTTTTCAGTCAACAGTAAATAAGACTGAACATGCACCAAGTCCTAACAAGCACTTATATACGTTCTTTTTCTGTACTTTTCACCAAAGTTTTAACTGGTTTTATAGTACTATACTAGTTTTTTGGTCAACATGATATAAGCTATACTCAGTTGGGAAGAAGGACCTATAAATAAGAAAATGGTCTCATCAAATTAGCCTATGGGCAAGTCTGTGGTGCATTTTTTTTTTTGATGAATGATTGGTGGGGGAGGGCTAAGCCCACTGTAGATGTTGCCGTTCTGGGCAGGTACTCTTGGGGGCTACTAGAAAGCAGACTAAGAAAGTTATAAAGAACAAGTTGAGTTGCTCCATTTTCTCTGCTTCAGTAAATGCTTCCAGACTTCTGCCTTGGATTCCTCCCTGACATTCCTTGAGGAAGGACTACAAGGTGTAAGATTATTTTAAACCATCTTCTCCCAAGTTTACCTTGGCCATATTAATAGATGCTCTAAGTAAGGTACTTTGCATATATTTGTGAATTTCTGTCATGTATTTATTTTCATAACTGACGATGAATAACAACACTGTCATTATTTGTGGTGCAATGATTCCTTCAGTAGTCTGAGGTAAAAAATATAGTGAAAATTAATTAACACAAATATCCTTGACTGTGCCTAACATCTGTACCTAGAACCCATGTATAAACCACAGGCTTTAGGATGTAGACTTCCTACAAACAGACCATTATTAGCGGTCCAGAATCAAAATGGCACAAGGGTCATCATATATCTGACATGAACCCTACACATTTTCTTTCATTTCTATTTTGTAATAGTCATTAGATAACCAGGATTTATAAGCCTACACTGATATTCTTAAATATACTTTAGAGCTATTTATAGGACCTTTGGTCATTCAGTGTGTCATCATATTGATCCTAAATTTGCATATATTAATAAAATTTGTCAAACGTTGCATCTGTCGTTAACCAGGGTGTCATACTTGAGGTATATGCAACTCATTTAACAATAAGTAAAATCATTCATAATGACACAAGAACATGAACTCCATCTCCACAGTCTGCTATACTCACAACACCCAAGACTAGCCATGAACCCCATGACCAAGGAAGAAGCGTAACTCAGGGTAAGAATACCACATAGAGTTGAAAAACAACACAGATTATGCACATCATTATATTCTATGACACTTGTGTTCTTTCTTTTATATTTTACCAATCTAATTGTATGAAAGCATGATACTTTCTTCTGAATCTCCTCCATTTATTTACAATGGACTTCTGAAATTTGACATATACTCTTAATAACCTTCAGGACATCATTTTCTTAATTTGAGACTACTGTGCCCTCTTTTATACATATTTTAGATTAATTATAAAAATGAAAATTCATGAACATTAATATCAAAATAACATAATATACCACTCTGGATATCTATCCCACAGATGAACAATACATATGTTCTGATATGAATCCCAGACCTACAGTGATGAGGTACTGATGACATACCGGAAGTGATCACCACTTATCCAACACTGTCCCACTCCTTCTTGCCCACATTCTATATTTGTGTTGCCTAAATATCTGTCTCTTACAATATTTACATAACAATTAATCACAAAATCCTAGCACAGGATCCTGATGTTTGAAGCTATTGAAAAGATCTTGTGCCACCTTGACTATCTTTTCTCTTAATTTTGGAAATTGGCAACATTGTGTACTTTGTCATGTGGAGTTGGCACAAACTTATAGTTGGCCTGACAGGAGCCTCTGTAAGCCTTTACCAAGAAAGGAATGTTGTATCAAGGCCATGCAAACCAAGAAAATAATTTTGACTCCACTTACTTCAGTTCCCTTGATCCATATGCAAGAGGGCAAGACAACCCAGGATCTTGCAGCCCAGCAATCATGTATTACCCAGCATACATCCGTGGAGTACACAGCCAGGAAAATAATAAAAACATTGATATTTTTCAAATTATTTCTACATTTCTCCTTTTATTATTTGTTATTTAGATTTTACATTGTTATGATAGTGTCTTAAAAAATCAAGTAAGATTCAAAATTAAGGTCTTGACCCTCACTGGGGCGCAATCCATTAATTATACTTCATATGTGAACTTGGATAAAGTTTATATACATCTTCATGCCAATTATTTCTTAACAGACTTTCATAGTATCCACAAATAGTAGTAGCATTTGTGGTAAAATATTCATTTACTAGTTGATCAATGCCTCAAATATTTATCTTCATTTATATTTGTGTAAATATTTATAAATTTTTTCATTGATATTCAAAGAAAATGCATGAAAGTGCCTGATGCTAATGATCACTATGTGCCCCAAATGTCTAACTTTTATTCCCTGGCTAAGAGGGGCACATAGGATGTGTTATGATGTGAACCTCAGACTTTTAATTGTAGTCATCGTCCATGACTAATATCGTCAGAACAAGTCATCATTGGTACGTGTTAGCATTCTTCTTCTCTAGTAATGTGTGTATGTTTTTTGTTTAACACATTAATTCAGACACAATAGAAGTGCCTCTGAAATTATTTTGTTCTTCAGAATAACAAATCCCTTGCTCAGATACATTCAATACTCTATAATAACATAGAACATTTCGCTGAGCAAAACAAGACAATAATATTGAATATTACTCACACAAGTTTTGGGTCTTCATGTAAAAACCGAGAGGAAGTGTAGAGATTATGAATGTGGCCCAGTGTTTAAAGCAGACTGAAGCCATTCCTTCTGAGGGATGAGCACTGTGAATGATGAAAATTTCATGACTAACTAATGTAAGCTTTGTAAAACACTTTCTGTAGATGTTTGTGAATCTGTGGTAATTGACACGTACTTTCACTTAATAAAATTTGAGTCAGTGAGTCTGGTTCATTTCAATGGGTAATGATTTTAGCAATATTTTTCTAATAACATTTTAAGAAACTAATGTCACCTTTTCCTCCTTTTAAGTATTAAAGCAAAGACCCAAAATGAACTGTGAAGTCAGCAGCTATGAGCACAGATTCCAGGATGTAGAACGCAGAAAGATAAGTAGCCATTCCTTGATTACCTGGGCATGACAGGGGTTTGTGTTTCCACTCTGAGGAGTATAAAGACAGAAATACTAAATGAATGGACAGATGGGGAGTCTTAGTCTATACTCAGATTTTTTTTTGGTTTTTCGAGACAGGGTTTCTCTGTGTAGCTTTGCGCCTTTTCCTGGAACTCACTTGGTAGCCCAGGCTGGCCTCGAACTCACAGAGATCCGCCTGGCTCTGCCTCCCGAGTGCTGGGATTAAAGGCGTGCGCCACCACCGCCCGGCTTATACTCAGATTTTTATAGCTAAGTCAACCTCAACAAAATTGATTGGGATTAACCTTGGGTTTGCTGTATACTAAGCTCACTGTAAAAGCTAATGAGTCTCCATTGGATACTAGATGTAAAACAAAGATGACTAGACTGCTACTCACAACTCCAGGGAAGCTACCTAGAAAACAGGACCCTAAGAAAGACACAGGAATTGCCCAATGACAGAGAAATGGATGAGATCTACATGAACCACCTGGACATGAGTTGGGGTAATGAAGGGCAAGGTTCGAGGGAAAGAGAGCTTAGGGGAGTGGGAGATCCCAGCTGGAACAAGAATAGAGAGGGAGACCAAGGAATAGGAGACCATGGTAAATGAAGACCACATGAGAATAGGAAGAAGAAAAGTGCTAGAGAGGTCCCCAGAAATCCACAAAGATACCCCAACAATAGACTGCTGGCAATGGTCGAGAGACAGCCCGAACTGACCTACTCTGGTGATCGGATGGCCAAACACCCTAACTTCTGTGGTAGAACTCTCATCCAATGACTGAGGGAAGGGGATGCAAAGATCCACAGCCAGGCCCTAGGTGGAGCCCTGGGAGTCCAATTGGCGAAAAAGAGGAAGAATTGTATGAGCGAGAATTGTTGAGACCAAGATTGGAAAAAGCACAAGGACAAATAGCCAAATTAATGGAAACACATGACTATGAACCAATAGCTGAGGAGCCCCCAACTGGATCAGGCCCTCTGGATAAGTGAGACATTTGATTAGATTGAACTGTTTGGGAGGCACCCAAGCAGTGGGACCAGGACCTGTCCTCAGTGCATGAGCTGGCTGTTTGGAACCTGGGGCCTATGCAGGGACTCTTTGCTCAGCCTGGGAGGAGGGGACTGGACCTGCCTGGACTGAATCTACCAGGTTGAGCTGAATTCCCAGGGGAGTCTTTGCCCTGGAGGAGATGGGAATGGGGGGTGGACTGGGGAAATGGGGGGTGAGTGGGAGGGGAGAAGACAGGGGAATCCATGGCTGATATGTAAAATTAAATTAAATTATAAAATAAACTTTAAAAAAAAGCTAATGAGTCACTTACAGTGCAAGAAGTATTAACTTTCCTACAACTGAACACCCGATAAAAACATAAGAACCAAGACTGGTCCAAGTGTCTGTCGGCTAAAATTCCCCTGCTCGCCAGGGAGAGCTAAATCTTCTGAGTGAAACTAGGTAGAAGGCAAGTAGATCCTGACTCAGTCTCTGCAGCTGTCTGTCAAATGTAAATATGCAAACAGTCATCCGGATGGATATATAATTCTTTATCCCAGAAATTTCAAGTAGACAGCATAGAAGTGGTATAACACTATAGTGTGTCTACGTAAACAAATAGAGTCACCATTGAAAAAACATGAATGATTCAGTTTATTTGCATTTTCAAGAGAGTCATTTGGGACTGGATTAACCATACACCTGTTTCAATAAGAAGGTTCCCACTACCCTACAATTTGGCTTCATTAATTGAGATAACAATAAGTTTTTCCATGTTTATGATAGTGCAATTATAGCTATGATTAAACAGAAAAAGAACAATATTAATGTCACAATATATCATATAGATGATATACATAGAGGTATATAGATAAACAGACAGACAGACAGATATATAGATGGATGGACAGATGGACGGATAATTGGATGGATGGAGGGGCAGACAGAGGGATAAATGTTGGATATAAATAGAACAGAAAGATAGATAGATAGATTCAGACAGATATAAACTATCTAATTAGATTACTAAGTATATGTTAGAGCAATTCTTAAGTATGCTTTAGAACAATTATTTGATTCAATGTGTCATTTGATTATATTAATTTTAAAAATATTAAGAAACTGTGTCGAGGATATTTTGCATCTGTCATTAACCAGATGAGACATTCTTGAGTAATTGGTAATTCATTTAAGAATTACTTACATGGCCTCCTATGCTCCCAAGACCTTAGAATAGCCTTGGACATCATGATCCAGATGGAAGGGTAACTCGTCTTGGGAATATCCGGAGAGATGAAAGGAAGAATGGATTATAAACACAATCAAATTCTATACAATGACCCTGTGTTGTTTCTTTTTTATTTTATTTTATTTATCTAGCATATAAAACTATAAAAAATTCTTCTTGATAAAATACACAGGAGATTGGGTTATAACCCTAACAAGAATTTGGACCACCTTTTTAAACACAGCATCCTTAGCCAAGGGAATTATACCTCTAGAAATTCATTACTAGTGGGTTTCTGAACTTTGATATATATACTGTTAGCATTACTACTTGGTATTATTGTGGAGAATATTTTCCACTATTATTATATTTTACTCTAATATTATAAATGTAATGAAAACTCATGAAGAAAAATACTATGATAATACACTATCACGTACTACACCTGACATCTATCACAGTTCCACACTACATGTGTTCTGGTGTGAAGCTCAGACACTCAGAACTGTAGTCACGCTCCACGGATCAATCATCATCAGTGGTCATCACTGACCCAACACCGCCTTTTCCTTTCTCTCACACTCTCTATATATTTATCACCTAACTATTCGTGTCACTTGGAGTAGTCCTATAACAAGTCACAAAATCTGGATGTTTTGAAATTATGCAACAGATTTTGTGCCACCCTGATTCTGTCTTTGTACTTCGTTTTGGAAATCCCCAACACTGCGCTCATGGTCATGTTTAATTGAGCACACAGTCTCCATTGGCCTAACAGGAGCCTATGCATGCCTTTACCAAGACAACCTAAATGTGGGATCAAGGCCACCCAAAGCAAAACAAGGACTTGGACTCCACTTACATCAGTTCCCTTGATCCTTACACATGGGGACAGGGCAACTACGGACCTCCCAGCCAGGAAACATGGTGTCAATCATCATCCTTCCAGGAAGTACAAAGGAAAAATGATAATAAAAAGATTGATATTTATCAAATGATTTCTACATTTCTCCTTTCTAACTATTTGTTATTTAGGATTCACATTGTTATGACAGTGTCTTAAGAAATCAAGTGAGGTTTAAAAATTAAGGTCTTGACCCTCACTGGGGCTTAATCCATTAATTATACTTCATATATGAACTTGGATAAACTTTATATACATCTTTAAACCAATTATTGTTTAACAGACTTCCAGAGTTTCTACATGTAATAGAAGAACTTGTGGTAAAATATTTAATTACTACTTGATCAAGGACTCAAAAAATTTTTTTCATTGGCATTTGTGTAAATATTTATGTTATGTTTCATTGATCCTCAAAGAAAAATGCATGAAAGTGCCTGCTTCTAATGACCACTATGTGCTCCACATGCCTAACATGTGTTTCTTGGCTAAGAGGAGCACATAGGATGTATGATGATGAGAACCTCAGACACTCAGAATTGTAGTCATCGTCCATGACTCATACTGTCACCCCAGATTTGGTCATCATCGGTCCATATTAGCCTTCATCATCTGCTAGTAATGTGTGCATGTTTGTTGTACAACACATTAATTCAGTAACAATAAAAGTGCCTCTGATTTTATTTTGTTTTTCAGAATAACAAATCCCTTGCTCAGATACATTGTATCCTCTATAGTAGCATAGAGCACCACATTGGGCAAAACAATACAATAATTTCGAATATTACTCACACAAGATTTGGGTCTTCATGTAAACACCGAGAGGAAGTGTAGAGATTATGAGTGTGGCCCAGTGTTTAAGGCAGACTGAAGCCAATTCTTCTGAGGGATGAGCACTGTGGATGATGAAAATTTCATGACTTAACTAATGTAAGCTTTGTAAAACTTTTTCTGTAGATGTTTGTGAATCTGTGGTAATAGCTACAGTATTTTCACTGAATAAAAATTAAGTTTTTGGGTCTGGTTCATTTAAGTGTGTAATGATTTTAGCATTATTTTTATAATAAACATTTAAGAAACTCATAATGTCAATCTTTCTTCCTTTTAAGTATTAAAGTAAAAAGCCAAAAAGAACAACAAAGCCAGCAGCTATGTATGGTGGTATTTTATTTGTACTGAAATGTGATTTTAATTGTATGTTAATAAATAAAGTTGCCCAGGGGTCAGAGCTATTAGAGCCATAGCAAGAGTGTGGCAGTGGTGGCACATGCCTTTAACCCCAGCACTTGGTAGACAGAGCTAGGTAGATCTGTGTGTTCAAGGATACAGCCAGCATTGGAGACACATGCCTTTAATCTCAATCCCAACCACAGAAGACCAGGAAGTCTCTACAGACAGGCAGTGACGAGGCAGTCATGTCTTTGGGTTTACAACCAATGAGAAGGCAAAACAGAAAGACTATATAAAGACAAACACACAGGAAGTAGGTCTCTTTGGGAGAGGTCTCTTGGCTTAAGAGGCTAGCTGCAGGGTAAGGCTCTTAGCTCTGATCTCTTCTTTGCATTGGTTCTGTTTCTTATTTAATAAGACGGTTGGTTACATCTACAGCTATGAGATTAGATTTCAAAATGTAGGACTCAGAGAGACAAGCACCATTCCTTGATTACCTGAACATGTCAGATATTTCTCTGTCCATTCAGAGGAGTATAAACCAGTAGGAAGTCAGAAATATTAAATGAATGGAGAGATAGGGAGACTCAGGATACATGCAGGTATTTATTACCAACTCCCAACAAATAAAAATGATTGGGACTAACAGTGTTTGCTGTAGACGAAGCTCAGTGTCAAAGCTAAAGAGTCACTTACAGTGTGAGATGTATTAATTTTCCTATAACTGAATACCAGATAAAACCATAAGAACCAAAACTGGTCCATGTGTCTGTCTAGCTGCACATTCCCTACTCAACAGGAAGTGCTAAATCTTCTGAGTGAACCTAGGTAGAAGGCAAGTAGATCCTGACTCAGTCTCTGCAGCTGTCTGTCAAATGTAAATATGTAAAGAGCCATCTGGATGCATATGGGATTCCTTATTCCAGTAACTTCAAGGAGACAGCACAGAAGTGGTATAATACTACACTGTGTCTTAATAAAGAAATACAACCACCTTGTGAAAACATGAGTGGTTCAGTTGAATTGGTGTTCTAAAGAGTCTCGGACCGGATGAACCATCCAACTCTTTGGCAACAGCAGGTCCTCACTAGCCTCCACTTTTCTTCAAAACTTGAGATAACAATACCCTGTTTCTGTGTTTATTATAGTGCCAATGCAGCTGTGATTCAACAGAAAAAGTACAATAAAAAAGACAGATGTTATCATATACATGACAGATGATGGATAGGTAGGTAGGTAGAGAGATAGATAGATAGACAGAGAGATACGTATATACATACATACATTAATGATGGATTTACAGTTCGAAGATGGATAGACAGACAGACAGATCCACAGACAGAGAGATAAAGAGATACAGATAAATACAAGGAATCCAATATGTTATAAAATGTGCTTTAGAGCAATTCTTAAGTATGCTTTAGATCAATTCTTTGATTCAGTGTGTCATCAGATTTCTTTTAAAATTAATGATATTAAGAAACTGTGTCCGTGATATTCGGTATCTGTCTTCAACTGGATGTGTCCTTCTTGAGCAGTGCATAATTCATTAAAGAATAAGGAGAAGCAGTCAGAGTAACACAGGAAAATGAACTGTACTTACTTGGTCACTGTGCTCCCAAGACCCTAGGCTCGCCGCAGACGTCGTGATCCACATGGAAGGGCAACTCAGGAATATCCAGAGAGATGAAAAGAGGAAGGGATTATACACAAAATCACAAAACCATGTTCTCTACAATGACCTCTGTGTTGTTTCTTTTTTATCTCACTCATCTACGAATATAAAATGTTGATACATTCTTCTTGAGAAAGTACACAGGAGCCCCGGTTCTAACCTTCACAAGAATTTTGACCACCATTTTATCTTTTGATTTTAATTTTTGTTTATTTAAGAGTTCTTTTTTCACATTAGATTCCAACCACAGTTCCCTTTCCCACCACCACCCCACCCACCACCCTCCACGCCCGCTGCTCCCACCCACCTTCCATCTTTCCTCCTCCACCCAGCCTCCTATCCAGTCCTCAGGGAGGGTAAGGCCTCCCACGGGGAGTCAAGGAAGTCCACCATATCAAGGTGAGGCAGGACCAAGCCCCTCTCTGCTGCATCAAGGCTGAGCAAGGCATCCCTCCACGGGGAATGGGCTCCAAAAAGCCAGTTCATGCACAAAGGATAAATCCTGGTGCCACTGCCAGTGGCCCCATAAATTGTCCAAGTCACACAACTGTCACCCACATTCCGAAGGCCTAGTTGGGTCCCATGCAGGTTCCTCAGTTGTCAGTCCAGAGTCAGTGAGCTCCCATTAGCTCAGGTCTCTGTGGGGTTCCCCATCATGATCTTGTCCCCTTTGCTCATATAATCTCTCCTCCTTTGCTTCAACTGGACACCGGGAGCTCCACAAAGTGCTTAGCTGTGGATCTCTGCATCTGCTTCCATTAGTACTGGATGAAGGTTCTATGATGACAATTAGGGTAGTCATCAATCTGATTAGAGGGGAAGGCCAGTTGAGGCACCCCCTCCACTACGGCTTGGAGTATTAGCTGGACTCATCCTTGTGGATCCCTTCTACATGGGATTTTCCCTTCTACGAGGTTTCTTCCTTACCCCGTAATGGCTCCCTCCATCAAGACATCTCTTTCATTTCTCTCCATCTCTGTCCCTCCCACAAATCCACCATTTACTTCCCTCAGGTTCTCTTTCCACCTCCCCTTATCTCCACCCCTCCTCCCAGGTTGGCAATTCACTCAGGAGTTCTTATTGATTTCCTCTTCCAAGGAGGATGCATGTACACCTATCTCTCTTAAGGCCCTCCTTGATACCTAGTATCTCTGGGGCTGTGCACTGTAGCCTGGTTATCCTTTGCATTACTTGACTATCATTTCAAACAGCACAAAGCATCCTTAGCCAAGGGAATTATACCTCTGGAAATTCATTACTAGTGGGTTCCTCAACATTGATATATATCTAAATATATCTATATCTATATCTATGTATCTATATGTATGTATGTATGTGTGTATATATATATATATATATATATATATATATATATATATATATATATATATATATATATATATATATATATATATACTGTTAGCATTACTACATGGTACTATTTGAGAATCCGTTCCCCTCTCCTGTGTTTTAATTGACTCTAATTATATGAATGTAATGAAAACTCATGAACAAAAATACTATGATATATACACTATCACGTACTACACCTGACATCTATCACAGTTCCACACTACATGTGTTCTGGTGTGAAGCTCAGACACTCAGACCTGTAGTCACGCTCCACGGATCCATCATCATCAGTGGTCATCAGTGACCCAACACCGCCTTTTCCTTTCTCTCACACTCTCTATATATTAATCACCTAACTATTTGCGTCACTTGGAGTAGTCCTATAACAAGTCACAAAATCTGGATGTTTTGAAATTATGCAACAGATTTTGTGCCACCCTGATTCTGTCTTTGTACTTCGTTTTGGAAATCCCCAACACTGCGCTCATGGTCATGTTTAATTGAGCACACAGTCTCCATTGGCCTAACAGGAGCCTATGCATGCCTTTACCAAGACAACCTAAATGTGGGATCAAGGCCACCCAAAGCAAAACAAGGACTTGGACTCCACTTACATCAGTTCCCTTGATGCTTACACATGGGGACAGGGCAACCACGGACCTCCCAGCCGGGAAACACGGTGCCAATCATCATCCTTCCAGGAAGTACAAAGGAAGAATGATAATAAAAAGATTGATATTTATCAAATGATTTCTACATTTCTCCTTTCTAACTATTTGTTATTTAGGATTCACATTGTTATGACAGTGTCTTAAGAAATCAAGTGAGGTTTAAAAATTAAGGTCTTGACCCTCACTGGGGCTTAACCCATTAAGTATACTTCCCATGTGAACTTGGATTATTAAGTTTATATACATCTTTATGCTAATACTTGTTAACAGACTTCCAGAGCTTCCCCATGTAGTAGTACCATTTGTGGTAAAATATTTGTTTACTAGTTGATCTATGCCTCAAAAATTTATTTTCATTTGTATTTGTGTGAATATTTATAAAATGTTTCACTGATCCACTAATGCTCAAGAAAGTGCTTGATTATAATGTCAGTATGGGCTCCACATGCCTAACGTTTATTCCCCGGTTAAGAGGGGCCCATAGGATGTACGGTGATGGGAACCTCAGACACCCAGAATTGTAGTCATCGTCCGTGACTTATACTGCCACCCCAGACTTGGTCATCATCGGTCCGTATTAGCCTTCCTCTCCCCTAGTAATGTATGTATGTGTGTTATTTAACACATGAATTCTTCGTTAACAATAAATGTGCCTCTGAGGTTATTTTGTTCTTCGGGATAACCAAATACCTTGGTCAGGTACATTCTATACTCTATAACAACATAGAGCGTATAACAATATGAGCATTACATTACAATAATTTTGAATATTACTCACATAGCTTTGGGTCTCCATGTAAACACCGAGAGGAAGTGTAGCGATTCTGGGTGTGGCCCAGGGTTTAAAGCAGACTGACGCCATTCCTTCTGAGGGATGAGCACTGTGGACGATGAAAATTTCATGACTTAACTAACGCAAGCTTTGTAAAACTTTTTCTGTAAACGATGGTGACTCTGTGGTAATAGCTTTGCATTTTCACTTAATAAAATTTAAGTCTGTCATCAACTGGATGTGCCATTCTTGGGTAATTTGTAATTCATGTAAGAATAAGGAGAAGCAGTCAGAGTCACACAAGAACATGAACTGTACTTACCTGGTCACTGTGCTCCAAAGACCCTAGGCTAGGCGGGGACATCGTGATCCAGATGGAAGGGCAACACGGCATGGGGATATCCGGAGAGAGGAAAGGAAGAATGGATTACAAACACATTCAAGTTCTATACAATGATCCTGTGTTGTTTCTTCTTTAGTTTCCTTATCAAAGAACATACGACTGTGATACATTCTTCATTAGAAAATACACAGGAGAGCGGGTTCCAACCCTAACAAGAATTTTGACCACCAGTTTTAAACAGTACACAGCACCCTGAGCCAAGGGATCATACCTCTGGAACTTCATTGCTAGTGGGTCTCTGTACTTTGGTGTATGTGTATTTGGTAGTATACTGTCATAGTATGTCGACACAAATTTAAACCTATTTGTGTTACACTGTATGCATGTTTCTACTCTTGTTTAAAGCATTTTTGTATATTGATAAAAATTTAAGGTTGCTTTTATTAAAACATATTGTATGTATGTTTCTATTTATGTTTGAGGTATTGTGCTTATGCAGTTCAATGGGAAATGTAGGGTCAAGTTCTAGTTTTGCAAATTGACTCCTATAAGCTATGTGGGATAACCAGGAAACATAGGTTAGTGGTTAGTCATTTGTAACAATCAAATTTGTGGATATGTTCGGTTTGCTTTCCAGATCATATAGAGATATATTTTAGATGAATAGAGAGTCTTCAAACTTTTCAAAGACTTCCAGAATACGGCACTACAAATGTTTTGTTATCCTCAACCTTTTCATGACCACGAGACACCTCTACTCCTGGCAGCACCCATTTGCTTCAGAGGTGAGTGGCACTGAACAAACTCCTTACGGAGTTTACTTTCGTTGTGGCAAGATTTCTTTGTGGCCGCTAGACAAAGAAAGTGCTCTGGTCTTTGGCTGCCGGCATTGTGCTGTGCAGATTTGACACGCAGGACACACAGGAAAACGGTTGTTGAACTTTGCCAGTGCAAGGCAGGGCAGACATTCAAAATACTTGCTTCACAAAAGAGACTGCCAGACAGTCTATAGGACGCAGAGCAGAGTGACTGACTAACTTTCTCAAATCAAGGCAAGACAGGCCTTCAAATTTCTTGCTTCAGAGCAAAGTCTGCCAGATACAATGTGTGGGCCTGTACACTGAAGTTGGATGCCCCAAGATTGGAGAGAAGCTATGGGTGACTGTCCAGGCAGTCAGATGTCTCTGTCATGGCTAGAGCTTTTGGAAGCTGTGTGCAATGCACATTTTGTTGACGCAAATGTGTTACATCTTCTAAGGATCTCTGATGGAATTGAAGACTAGAGAGTTACAGCTGCAGTTTTTCTCAGTTTTACTTAAGAGAGTAACTTAGCTGTAAGACTTTGGATTCTGTAAGATACGACAGATAAAGCATTATTTTCTTTGAAAATGCTAACTACAAATGGACAGAATATTGTACATGGAATTCCGAATAGATAATTTTTCTGTTGTCTGTACTTTTACTGTGTTAGAGTAAAAACCTTTACTTTTATGACAACCAAAATGGGAAATGTTGTAGAGTATTATTTTGTTTAAGGTGTGTTACTTTTGTTTATGTTGCGCTTGTTTAACTCTGTGAAGCTTTGTTCTTGTGCCTGTCTAAAACCCCTGATGGTCTAATAAACAACTGAATGGCCAATAGCAAGGCAGAAGAAAGCATAGGCAGAATTGGGGGTGGGGAGAGAGGGAAATAATAGAAGGAGAAGTCTGGGAGAGGTAGAAAGAAGGAGCCAGAGGAGGAAGAGGACATCAGGGGCCAGCCACCCAGCTGCATATCAAGACAGGAAGTAAGAGTAAGATTAACAGAAGTAAGAGAACATGAGAAGCCCAGAGGCAAAGGGTAGATGGGATAATTTAAAGTGAAGGAAATCTGGCAAGAAATAAGCCAAGCTAAGGCCGGATATTTATAATTTGTGTGCTCTATTTGGTAACTGGATGGGGGGCCCCAGAAAAGACAAAAGCAGAAAACAACACTTGACTAAGAGAGGAGTGTCTCATAAAGGCCACCCATAGCAAAACCAAAATCTTGACTCCACTTACATCAGTTCCCTTGATCCTTACACATCAGGACTGGGCAACCGTGGACCTCCCAGCCAGGAAACAAGGTGGCAGTCATCATCCATCCAGGGATTACACAGCAGAGAAGATAATAAAAAGATTGATAGTTTTCAAACGATTTCTACATTTCTCCTTTCACTATTTGTTATTTAGGAGTCACATTGTTATGATAGTGTCTTAAGGAATCAAGTGAGCTATAAGATTAAGGTCTTGACCCTCACTGGGTCTTCGTCCATTAATTATACTTCCTAGGTGAACTTGGATCAAGTTTATATACATCTTTAAGCCAGTTAACTTTTAAGAGATTTCGAGAGTATCTACAAGCAGTAGTAAGTAGTAGCATTTGTAGTCAAACATTTATCTACTCATTGATCAATGCCACCACATTTATTTACATTTGTATTTGTGTGAATATTTACAGCATGTCATTGATCCACTAAGAAAATTCACGAAAGTGCATGCTTCTAATGAAGAGTGTGTGCTCCACAAGCCTAATGGTTTTTCCAGGCTAACAGGAGCAAATGAGATGTGTTATGATGAGAAAGAACCTCAGACACCCATAATTGTAGTCATCGTCCATGACTTATAGCGCCGCAGGGGAATTGTCATCATTGGTCCGTGATAGCCTACCACTTCTCTAGTCATATGTGTGTGCATGTTTGTTATTTAACGCAGTAATTCATTAACAATAAAAGTGCCTCTGATTTCATTTTGTTTTTTTTTTTTCCAGAATACCTGACCTCTGCTCTAAACTACAATAACATAGAGCAAAACAAGACAATAATTTTGAATATTACTCACACAGGATTTGGACTTCACGTAAGCACTGAGATTAAGTGTAGAGATTATGGGTGTGGCCCAGTGTTTAAAGCAGACTGAAGCCATTCCTTCAGTGGGACGAGCACTGTGGATGATGAAAATTTAATACTTTAACTATGAAAGTATGTAAATCTTTTTCTGTAGATGTTGGTGAATCTGTGGTAATAGCTATTTATTTTGAACTTAAAAATTTTAAGTCTTTGGGTTTGGTTCTTTTTAATGTGTATTGTTTTGGCAACATTTTAATAATAAAGAGTTAAGAATTTAATAATGTCACCCTTTCCTCCCTTAAGTATTAAAGCAAAGACCCACGATAAGCCATGAAGCCAGTAGCCATGAGAAAAGATCGAAGGATATAGAACTCAGAGATAAACACCTATTCCGTGATAAACCTAGCATTACAGGTATTGTGCGTCTAACTGAGTCCAGGGTGTCTACCAGTACAAAGAGAGAAATATTAAATGAATGGAGAGATCGGAGGCAAAGTCTAGAGTCCGACTTTTGTAGCCAAAAACAAAACTCAACAAACCCTGACTGGGACTAACCTCGTGTTTGCTGTAGACGAAGCTCACTGTCAAAGCCAAAGAGTCATTTACAGTGTTAGACGTATTAGCTTTCCTACAACTGAATACCAGATAAAACCATAAGAACCAAAACTGGTCCATGTGTCTGTCTAGCTGCACATTCCCTACTCAACAGGAAGTGCGAAATCTTCTGAGTGAACCTAGGTAGAAGGCAAGTAGATCCTGACTCAGTCTCTGCAGCTGTCTGTCAAATGTAAATGTGTAAAGAGCCATCTGGATGCATATGGGATCCCTTATTCCAGAAACATCAAGGAGACAGCACAGAAGTGGTATAATACTACAGTGTGTCTTAATAAAGAAATACAACCACCTTGTGAAAACATGAGTGGTTCAGTTGAATTGGTGTTCTAAAGAGTCTCGGACCGGATGAACCATCCAACTCTTTGGCAACAGCAGGTCCTCACTAGCCTCCACTTTTCTTCAAAATTTGAGATAACAATACCCTGTTTCTGTGTTTATTATAGTGCCAATGCAGCTGTGATTCAACAGAAAAAGTACAATAAAAAAGACAGATGTTATCATATACATGACAGATGATGGATAGGTAGGTAGGTAGAGAGATAGATAGATAGACAGAGAGATACGTATATACATACATACATTAATGATGGATTTACAGTTCGAAGATGGATAGACAGACAGACAGATCCATAGACAGAGAGATAAAGAGATACAGATAAATACAAGGAATCCAATATGTTATTAAATGTGCTTTAGAGCAATTCTTAAGTATGCTTTAGATCAATTCTTTGATTCAGTGTGTCATCAGATTTCTTTTAAAATTAATGATATTAAGAAACTGTGTCCATGATATTTGGTATCTGTCTTCAACTGGATGTGTCCTTCTTGAGCAGTGCATAATTCATTAAAGAATAAGGAGAAGCAGTCAGAGTAACACAGGAAAATGAACTGTACTTACTTGGTCACTGTGCTCCCAAGACCCTAGGCTCGCCGCAGACGTCGAGATCTACATGGAAGGGCAACTCAGGAATATCCAGAGAGATGAAAAGAGGAATGGATTATACACAAAATCACAAAACCATGTTCTCTACAATGACCTCTGTGTTGTTTCTTTTTTATCTCACCTATCTACGAATATAAAATGTTGATACATTCTTCTTGAGAAAGTACACAGGAGCCCCGGTTCTAACCTTCACAAGAATTTTGACCACCATTTTATCTTTTGATTTTAATTTTTGTTTATTTAAGAGTTCTTTTTTCACATTAGATTCCAACCACAGTTCCCTTTCCCACCCCCACCCCACCCACCCCCCCCCCACGCCCGCTGCTCCCACCCACCCTCCATCTTTCCTCCTCCACCCAGCCTCCTATCCAGTCCTCAGGGAGGGTAAGGCCTCCCACGGGGAGTCAAGGAAGTCCACCATATCAAGGTGAGGCAGGACCAAGCCCCTCTCTGCTGCATCAAGGCTGAGCAAGGCATCCCTCCACGGGGAATGGGCTCCAAAAAGCCAGTTCATGCACGAAGGATAAATCCTGGTGCCACTGCCAGTGGCCCCATAAATTGTCCAAGTCACACAACTGTCACCCACATTCCGAGGGCCTAGTTCGGTCCCATGCAGGTTCCCCAGTTGTCAGTCCAGAGTCAGTGAGCTCCCATTAGCTCAGGTCTCTGTGGGGTTCCCCATCATGATCTTGTCCCCTTTGCTCATATAATCTCTCCTCCTTTGCTTCAACTGGACTCCGGGAGCTCCACAAAGTGCTTAGCTGTGGATCTCTGCATCTGCTTCCATTAGTACTGGATGAAGGTTCTATGATGACAATTAGGGTAGTCATCAATCTGATTAGAGGGGAAGGCCAGTTGAGGCACCCCCTCCACTACGGCTTGGAGTATTAGCTGGGCTCATCCGTGTGGATCCCTTCTACATGGGATTTTCCCTTCTACGAGGTTTCTTCCTTACCCCGTAATGGCTCCCTCCATCAGGACATCTCTTTCATTTCTCTCCATCTCTGTCCCTCCCCCAAATCCACCATCTACTTCCCTCAGGTTCTCTTCCCACCTCCCCTTATCTCCACCCCTCCTCCCAGGTTGGCAATTCACTCAGGAGTTCTTATTGATTTCCTCTTCCCAGGAGGATGCATGTACTCCTATCTCTCTTAAGGCCCTCCTTGATACCTAGTATCTCTGGGGCTGTGCACTGCAGCCTGGTTATCCTTTGCTTTACTTGACTATCATTTCAAGCAGCACAAAGCATCCTTAGGCAAGGGAATTATACCTCTGGAAATTCATTACTAGTGGGTTCCTCAACATTGATATATATCTAAATATATCTATATCTACATCTATCTATCTATATGTATATATGTATATATATACATATAGATACATTACTACATGGTACTATTTGAGAATCCGTTCCCCTCTCCTGTGTTTTAATTGACTCTAATTATATGAATGTAATGAAAACTCATGAACAAAAGTACTATGATATATACACTATCACGTACTACACCTGACATCTATCACAGTTCCACACTACATGTGTTCTGGTGTGAAGCTCAGACACTCAGACCTGTAGTCACGCTCCACGGATCCATCATCATCAGTGGTCATCAGTGACCCAACACCGCCTTTTCCTTTCTCTCACACTCTCTATATATTAATCACCTAACTATTTGCGTCACTTGGAGTAGTCCTATAACAAGTCACAAAATCTGGATGTTTTGAAATTATGCAACAGATTTTGTGCCACCCTGATTCTGTCTTTGTACTTCGTTTTGGAAATCCCCAACACTGCGCTCATGGTCATGTTTAATTGAGCACACAGTCTCCATTGGCCTAACAGGAGCCTATGCATGCCTTTACCAAGACAACCTAAATGTGGGATCAAGGCCACCCAAAGCAAAACAAGGACTTGGACTCCACTTACATCAGTTCCCTTGATGCTTACACATGGGGACAGGGCAACCACGGACCTCCCAGCCAGGAAACACGGTGCCAATCATCATCCTTCCAGGAAGTACAAAGGAAGAATGATAATAAAAAGATTGATATTTATCAAATGATTTCTACATTTCTCCTTTCTAACTATTTGTTATTTAGGATTCACATTGTTATGACAGTGTCTTAAGAAATCAAGTGAGGTTTAAAAATTAAGGTCTTGACCCTCACTGGGGCTTAACCCATTAAGTATACTTCCCATGTGAACTTGGATTATTAAGTTTATATACATCTTTATGCTAATACTTGTTAACAGACTTCCAGAGCTTCCCCATGTAGTAGTACCATTTGTGGTAAAATATTTGTTTACTAGTTGATCTATGCCTCAAAAATTTATTTTCATTTGTATTTGTGTGAATATTTATAAAATGTTTCACTGATCCACTAATGCTCAAGAAAGTGCTTGATTATAATGTCAGTATGGGCTCCACATGCCTAACGTTTATTCCCCGGTTAAGAGGGGCCCATAGGATGTACGGTGATGGGAACCTCAGACACCCAGAACTGTAGTCATCGTCCGTGACTTATACTGCCACCCCAGACTTGGTCATCATCGGTCCGTATTAGCCTTCCTCTCCCCTAGTAATGTATGTATGTGTGTTATTTAACACATGAATTCTTCGTTAACAATAAATGTGCCTCTGAGGTTATTTTGTTCTTCGGGATAACCAAATACCTTGGTCAGGTACATTCTATACTCTATAACAACATAGAGCGTATAACAATATGAGCATTACATTACAATAATTTTGAATATTACTCACATAGCTTTGGGTCTCCATGTAAACACCGAGAGGAAGTGTAGCGATTCTGGGTGTGGCCCAGGGTTTAAAGCAGACTGACGCCATTCCTTCTGAGGGATGAGCACTGTGGACGATGAAAATTTCATGACTTAACTAACGCAAGCTTTGTAAAACTTTTTCTGTAAACGATGGTGACTCTGTGGTAATAGCTTTGCATTTTCACTTAATAAAATTTAAGTCTGTCATCAACTGGATGTGCCATTCTTGGGTAATTTGTAATTCATGTAAGAATAAGGAGAAGCAGTCAGAGTCACACAAGAACATGAACTGTACTTACCTGGTCACTGTGCTCCAAAGACCCTAGGCTAGGCGGGGACATCGTGATCCAGATGGAAGGGCAACACGGCATGGGGATATCCGGAGAGAGGAAAGGAAGAATGGATTACAAACACATTCAAGTTCTATACAATGATCCTGTGTTGTTTCTTCTTTAGTTTCCTTATCAAAGAACATACGACTGTGATACATTCTTCATTAGAAAATACACAGGAGAGCGGGTTCTAACCCTAACAAGAATTTTGACCACCAGTTTTAAACAGTACACAGCACCCTGAGCCAAGGGATCATACCTCTGGAACTTCATTGCTAGTGGGTCTCTGTACTTTGGTGTATGTGTATTTGGTAGTATACTGTCATAGTATGTCGACACAAATTTAAACCTATTTGTGTTACACTGTATGCATGTTTCTACTCTTGTTTAAAGCATTTTTGTATATTGATAAAAATTTAAGGTTGCTTTTATTAAAACATATTGTATGTATGTTTCTATTTATGGTTGAGGTATTGTGCTTATGTAGTTCAATGGGAAATGTAGGGTCAAGTTCTAGGTTTGCAAATTGACTCCTATAAGCTATGTGGGATAACCAGGAAACATAGGTTAGTGGTTAGTCATTTGTAACAATCAAATTTGTGGATATGTTCGGTTTGCTTTCCAGATCATATAGAGATATATTTTAGATGAATAGAGAGTCTTCAAACTTTTCAAAGACTTCCAGAATACGGCACTACAAATGTTTTGTTATCCTCCACCTTTTCATGACCACGAGACACATCTACTCCTGGCAGCACCCATTTGCTTCAGAGGTGAGGGGCACTGAACAAACTCCTTACGGGGTTTACTTTCGTTGTGGCAAGATTTCTTTGTGGCCGCTAGACAAAGAAAGTGCTCTGGTCTTTGGCTGCCGGCATTGTGCTGTGCAGATTTGACACGCAGGACACACAGGAAAAAGGTTGTTGAACTTTGCCAGTGCAAGGCAGGGCAGACATTCAAAATACTTGCTTCACAAAAGAGACTGCCAGACAGTCTATAGGACGCAGAGCAGAGTGACTGACTAACTTTCTCAAATCAAGGCAAGACAGGCCTTCAAATTTCTTGCTTCAGAGCAAAGTCTGCCAGATACAATGTGTGGGCCTGTACACTGAAGTTGGATGCCCCAAGATTGGAGAGAAGCTATGGGTGACCGTCCAGGCAGTCAGATGTCTCTGTCATGGCTAGAGCTTTTGGAAGCTGTGTGCAATGCACATTTTGTTGACGCAAATGTGTTACATCTTCTAGGGATCTCTGATGGAATTGAAGACTAGAGAGTTACAGCTGCAGTTTTTCTCAGTTTTACTTAAGAAAGTAACTTAGCTGTAAGACTCTGGATTCTGTAAGATACGACAGATAAAGCATTATTTTCTTTGAAAATGCTAACTACAAATGGACAGAATATTGTACATGGAATTCCGAATAGATAATTTTTCTGTTGTCTGTACTTTTACTGTGTTAGAGTAAAAACCTTTACTTTTATGACAACCAAAATGGGAAATGTTGTAGAGTATTATTTTGTTTAAGGTGTGTTACTTTTGTTTATGTTGCGCTTGTTTAACTCTGTGAAGCTTTGTTCTTGTGCCTGTCTAAAACCCCTGATGGTCTAATAAACAACTGAATGGCCAATAGCAAGGCAGAAGAAAGCATAGGCAGAATTGGGGGTGGGGAGAGAGGGAAATAATAGAAGGAGAAGTCTGGGAGAGGTAGAAAGAAGGAGCCAGAGGAGGAAGAGGACATCAGGGGCCAGCCACCCAGCTGCATATCAAGACAGGAAGTAAGAGTAAGATTAACAGAAGTAAGAGAACATGAGAAGCCCAGAGGCAAAAGGTAGATGGGATAATTTAAAGTGAAGGAAATCTGGCAAGAAATAAGCCAAGCTAAGGCCGGATATTTATAATTTGTGTGCTCTATTTGGTAACTGGATGGGGGGCCCCAGAAAAGACAAAAGCAGAAAACAACACTTGACTAAGAGAGGAGTGTCTCATAAAGGCCACCCATAGCAAAACCAAAATCTTGACTCCACTTACATCAGTTCCCTTGATCCTTACACATCAGGACTGGGCAACCGTGGACCTCCCAGCCAGGAAACAAGGTGGCAATCATCATCCATCCAGGGATTACACAGCAGAGAAGATAATAAAAAGATTGATAGTTTTCAAACGATTTCTACATTTCTCCTTTCACTATTTGTTATTTAGGAGTCACATTGTTATGATAGTGTCTTAAGGAATCAAGTGAGCTATAAGATTAAGGTCTTGACCCTCACTGGGTCTTCGTCCATTAATTATACTTCCTAGGTGAACTTGGATCAAGTTTATATACATCTTTAAGCCAGTTAACTTTTAAGAGATTTCGAGAGTATCTACAAGCAGTAGTAAGTAGTAGCATTTGTAGTCAAACATTTATCTACTCATTGATCAATGCCACCATATTTATTTACATTTGTATTTGTGTGAATATTTACAGCATGTCATTGATCCACTAAGAAAATTCACGAAAGTGCATGCTTCTAATGAAGAGTGTGTGCTCCACAAGCCTAATGGTTTTTCCAGGCTAACAGGAGCAAATGAGATGTGTTATGATGAGAAAGAACCTCAGACACCCATAATTGTAGTCATCGTCCATGACTTATAGCGCCGCAGGGGAATTGTCATCATTGGTCCGTGATAGCCTACCACTTCTCTAGTCATATGTGTGTGCATGTTTGTTATTTAACGCAGTAATTCATTAACAATAAAAGTGCCTCTGATTTCATTTTGTTTTTTCCAGAATACCTGACCTCTGCTCTAAACTACAATAACATAGAGCAAAACAAGACAATAATTTTGAATATTACTCACACAGGATTTGGACTTCACGTAAGCACTGAGATTAAGTGTAGAGATTATGGGTGTGGCCCAGTGTTTAAAGCAGACTGAAGCCATTCCTTCAGTGGGACGAGCACTGTGGATGATGAAAATTTAATACTTTAACTATGAAAGTATGTAAATCTTTTTCTGTAGATGTTGGTGAATCTGTGGTAATAGCTATTTATTTTGAACTTAAAAATTTTAAGTCTTTGGGTTTGGTTCTTTTTAATGTGTATTGTTTTGGCAACATTTTAATAATAAAGAGTTAAGAATTTAATAATGTCACCCTTTCCTCCCTTAAGTATTAAAGCAAAGACCCACGATAAGCCATGAAGCCAGTAGCCATGAGAAAAGATCGAAGGATATAGAACTCAGAGATAAACACCTATTCCGTGATAAACCTAGCATTACAGGTATTGTGCGTCTAACTGAGTCCAGGGTGTCTACCAGTACAAAGAGAGAAATATTAAATGAATGGAGAGATCGGAGGCAAAGTCTAGAGTCCGACTTTTGTAGCCAAAAACAAAACTCAACAAACCCTGACTGGGACTAACCTCGTGTTTGCTGTAGACGAAGCTCACTGTCAAAGCCAAAGAGTCATTTACAGTGTTAGACGTATTAGCTTTCCTACAACTGAATACCAGATAAAACCATAAGAACCAAAACTGGTCCATGTGTCTGTCTAGCTGCACATTCCCTACTCAACAGGAAGTGCTAAATCTTCTGAGTGAACCTAGGTAGAAGGCAAGTAGATCCTGACTCAGTCTCTGCAGCTGTCTGTCAAATGTAAATGTGTAAAGAGCCATCTGCATGCATATGGGATTCCTTATTCCAGAAACTTCAAGGAGACAGCACAGAAGTGGTATAATACTACAGTGTGTCTTAATAAAGAAATACAACCACCTTGTGAAAACATGAGTGGTTCAGTTGAATTGGTGTTCTAAAGAGTCTCGGACCGGATGAACCATCCAACTCTTTGGCAACAGCAGGTCCTCACTAGCCTCCACTTTTCTTCAAAACTTGAGATAACAATACCCTGTTTCTGTGTTTATTATAGTGCCAATGCAGCTGTGATTCAAAGGAAAAAGTACAATAAAAAAGACAGATGTTATCATATACATGACAGATGATGGATAGGTAGGTAGGTAGAGAGATAGATAGAAAGATAGATAGATAGATAGACAGAGAGATACGTATATACATACATACATTAATGATGGATTTACAGTTCGAAGATGGATAGACAGACAGACAGATCCATAGACAGAGAGATAAAGAGATACAGATAAATACAAGGAATCCAATATGTTATTAAATGTGCTTTAGAGCAATTCTTAAGTATGCTTTAGATCAATTCTTTGATTCAGTGTGTCATCAGATTTCTTTTAAAATTAATGATATTAAGAAACTGTGTCCATGATATTTGGTATCTGTCTTCAACTGGATGTGTCCTTCTTGAGCAGTGCATAATTCATTAAAGAATAAGGAGAAGCAGTCAGAGTAACACGGGAAAATGAACTGTACTTACTTGGTCACTGTGCTCCCAAGACCCTAGGCTCGCCGCAGACGTCGTGATCCACATGGAAGGGCAACTCAGGAATATCCAGAGAGATGAAAAGAGGAAGGGATTATACACAAAATCACAAAACCATGTTCTCTACAATGACCTCTGTGTTGTTTGTTTCTTATCTCACTCATCTACGAATATAAAATGTTGATACATTCTTCTTGAGAAAGTACACAGGAGCCCCGGTTCTAACCTTCACAAGAATTTTGACCACCATTTTATCTTTTGATTTTAATTTTTGTTTATTTAAGAGTTCTTTTTTCACATTAGATTCCAACCACAGTTCCCTTTCCCACCCCCACCCCACCCACCACCCCCCACGCCCGCTGCTCCCACCCACCCTCCATCTTTCCTCCTCCACCCAGCCTCCTATCCAGTCCTCAGGGAGGGTAAGGCCTCCCACGGGGAGTCAAGGAAGTCCACCATATCAAGGTGAGGCAGGACCAAGCCCCTCTCTGCTGCATCAAGGCTGAGCAAGGCATCCCTCCACGGGGAATGGGCTCCAAAAAGCCAGTTCATGCACGAAGGATAAATCCTGGTGCCACTGCCAGTGGCCCCATAAATTGTCCAAGTCACACAACTGTCACCCACATTCCGAGGGCCTAGTTCGGTCCCATGCAGGTTCCCCAGTTGTCAGTCCAGAGTCAGTGAGCTCCCATTAGCTCAGGTCTCTGTGGGGTTCCCCATCATGATCTTGTCCCCTTTGCTCATATAATCTCTCCTCCTTTGCTTCAACTGGACTCCGGGAGCTCCACAAAGTGCTTAGCTGTGGATCTCTGCATCTGCTTCCATTAGTACTGGATGAAGGTTCTATGATGACAATTAGGGTAGTCATCAATCTGATTAGAGGGGAAGGCCAGTTGAGGCACCCCCTCCACTACGGCTTGGAGTATTAGCTGGGCTCATCCGTGTGGATCCCTTCTACATGGGATTTTCCCTTCTACGAGGTTTCTTCCTTACCCCGTAATGGCTCCCTCCATCAGGACATCTCTTTCATTTCTCTCCATCTCTGTCCCTCCCCCAAATCCACCATCTACTTCCCTCAGGTTCTCTTACCACCCCCCCCTTATCTCCACCCCTCCTCCCAGGTTGGCAATTCACTCAGGAGTTCTTATTGATTTCCTCTTCCCAGGAGGATGCATGTACTCCTATCTCTCTTAAGGCCCTCCTTGATACCTAGTATCTCTGGGGCTGTGCACTGCAGCCTGGTTATCCTTTGCTTTACTTGACTATCATTTCAAACAGCACAAAGCATCCTTAGCCAAGGGAATTATACCTCTGGAAATTCATTACTAGTGGGTTCCTCAACATTGATATATATCTAAATATATCTATATCTACATCTATCTATCTATATGTATATATATATGTATATATATACATATAGATACATTACTACATGGTACTATTTGAGAATCTGTTCCCCTCTCCTGTGTTTTAATTGACTCTAATTATATGAATGTAATGAAAACTCATGAACAAAAATACTATGATATATACACTATCACGTACTACACCTGACATCTATCACAGTTCCACACTACATGTGTTCTGGTGTGAAGCTCAGACACTCAGACCTGTAGTCACGCTCCACGGATCCATCATCATCAGTGGTCATCAGTGACCCAACACCGCCTTTTCCTTTCTCTCACACTCTCTATATATTAATCACCTAACTATTTGCGTCACTTGGAGTAGTCCTATAACAAGTCACAAAATCTGGATGTTTTGAAATTATGCAACAGATTTTGTGCCACCCTGATTCTGTCTTTGTACTTCGTTTTGGAAATCCCCAACACTGCACTCATGGTCATGTTTAATTGAGCACACAGTCTCCATTGGCCTAACCAGAGCCTATGCATGCCTTTACCAAGACAACCTAAATGTGGGATCAAGGCCACCCAAAGCAAAACAAGGACTTGGACTCCACTTACATCAGTTCCCTTGATCCTTACACATGGGGACAGGGCAACCACGGACCTCCCAGCCGGGAAACACGGTGCCAATCATCATCCTTCCAGGAAGTACAAAGGAAGAATGATAATAAAAAGATTGATATTTATCAAATGATTTCTACATTTCTCCTTTCTAACTATTTGTTATTTAGGATTCACGTTGTTATGACAGTGTCTTAAGAAATCAAGTGAGGTTTAAAAATTAAGGTCTTGACCCTCACTGGGGCTTAACCCATTAAGTACACTTCCCATGTGAACTTGGATTATTAAGTTTATATACATCTTTATGCTAATACTTGTTAACAGACTTCCAGAGCTTCCCCATGTAGTAGTACCATTTGTGGTAAAATATTTGTTTACTAGTTGATCTATGCCTCAAAAATTTATTTTCATTTGTATTTGTGTGAATATTTATAAAATGTTTCACTGATCCACTAATGCTCAAGAAAGTGCTTGATTATAATGTCAGTATGGGCTCCACATGCCTAACGTTTATTCCCCGGTTAAGAGGGGCCCATAGGATGTACGGTGATGGGAACCTCAGACACCCAGAACTGTAGTCATCGTCCGTGACTTATACTGCCACCCCAGACTTGGTCATCATCGGTCCGTATTAGCCTTCCTCTCCCCTAGTAATGTATGTATGTGTGTTATTTAACACATGAATTCTTCGTTAACAATAAATGTGCCTCTGAGGTTATTTTGTTCTTCGGGATAACCAAATACCTTGGTCAGGTACATTCTATACTCTATAACAACATAGAGCGTATAACAATATGAGCATTACATTACAATAATTTTGAATATTACTCACATAGCTTTGGGTCTCCATGTAAACACCGAGAGGAAGTGTAGCGATTCTGGGTGTGGCCCAGGGTTTAAAGCAGGCTGACGCCATTCCTTCTGAGGGATGAGCACTGTGGACGATGAAAATTTCATGACTTAACTAACGCAAGCTTTGTAAAACTTTTTCTGTAAACGATGGTGACTCTGTGGTAATAGCTTTGCATTTTCACTTAATAAAATTTAAGTCTGTCATCAACTGGATGTGCCATTCTTGGGTAATTTGTAATTCATGTAAGAATAAGGAGAAGCAGTCAGAGTCACACAAGAACATGAACTGTACTTACCTGGTCACTGTGCTCCAAAGACCCTAGGCTAGGCGGGGACATCGTGATCCAGATGGAAGGGCAACACGGCATGGGGATATCCGGAGAGAGGAAAGGAAGAATGGATTACAAACACATTCAAGTTCTATACAATGATCCTGTGTTGTTTCTTCTTTAGTTTCCTTATCAAAGAACATACGACTGTGATACATTCTTCATTAGAAAATACACAGGAGAGCGGGTTCTAACCCTAACAAGAATTTTGACCACCAGTTTTAAACAGTACACAGCACCCTGAGCCAAGGGATCATACCTCTGGAACTTCATTGCTAGTGGGTCTCTGTACTTTGGTGTATGTGTATTTGGTAGTATACTGTCATAGTATGTCGACACAAATTTAAACCTATTTGTGTTACACTGTATGCATGTTTCTACTCTTGTTTAAAGCATTTTTGTATATTGATAAAAATTTAAGGTTGCTTTTATTAAAACATATTGTATGTATGTTTCTATTTATGGTTGAGGTATTGTGCTTATGCAGTTCAATGGGAAATGTAGGGTCAAGTTCTAGGTTTGCAAATTGACTCCTATAAGCTATGTGGGATAACCAGGAAACATAGGTTAGTGGTTAGTCATTTGTAACAATCAAATTTGTGGATATGTTCGGTTTGCTTTCCAGATCATATAGAGATATGTTTTAGATGAATAGAGAGTCTTCAAACTTTTCAAAGACTTCCAGAATACGGCACTACAAATGTTTTGTTATCCTCAACCTTTTCATGACCACGAGACACCTCTACTCCTGGCAGCACCCATTTGCTTCAGAGGTGAGGGGCACTGAACAAACTCCTTACGGGGTTTACTTTCGTTGTGGCAAGATTTCTTTGTGGCCGCTAGACAAAGAAAGTGCTCTGGTCTTTGGCTGCCGGCATTGTGCTGTGCAGATTTGACACGCAGGACACACAGGAAAAAGGTTGTTGAACTTTGCCAGTGCAAGGCAGGGCAGACATTCAAAATACTTGCTTCACAAAAGAGACTGCCAGACAGTCTATAGGACGCAGAGCAGAGTGACTGACTAACTTTCTCAAATCAAGGCAAGACAGGCCTTCAAATTTCTTGCTTCAGAGCAAAGTCTGCCAGATACAATGTGTGGGCCTGTACACTGAAGTTGGATGCCCCAAGATTGGAGAGAAGCTATGGGTGACTGTCCAGGCAGTCAGATGTCTCTGTCATGGCTAGAGTTTTTGGAAGCTGTGTGCAATGCACATTTTGTTGACGCAAATGTGTTACATCTTCTAGGGATCTCTGATGGAATTGAAGACTAGAGAGTTACAGCTGCAGTTTTTCTCAGTTTTACTTAAGAAAGTAACTTAGCTGTAAGACTTTGGATTCTGTAAGATACGACAGATAAAGCATTATTTTCTTTGAAAATGCTAACGACAAATGGACAGAATATTGTACATGGAATTCCGAATAGATAATTTTTCTGTTGTCTGTACTTTTACTGTGTTAGAGTAAAAACCTTTACTTTTATGACAACCAAAATGGGAAATGTTGTAGAGTATTATTTTGTTTAAGGTGTGTTACTTTTGTTTATGTTGCGCTTGTTTAACTCTGTGAAGCTTTGTTCTTGTGCCTGTCTAAAACCCCTGATGGTCTAATAAACAACTGAATGGCCAATAGCAAGGCAGAAGAAAGCATAGGCAGAATTGGGGGTGGGGAGAGAGGGAAATAATAGAAGGAGAAGTCTGGGAGAGGTAGAAAGAAGGAGCCAGAGGAGGAAGAGGACATCAGGGGCCAGCCACCCAGCTGCATATCAAGACAGGAAGTAAGAGTAAGATTAACAGAAGTAAGAGAACATGAGAAGCCCAGAGGCAAAAGGTAGATGGGATAATTTAAAGTGAAGGAAATCTGGCAAGAAATAAGCCAAGCTAAGGCCGGATATTTATAATTTGTGTGCTCTATTTGGTAACTGGATGGGGGGCCCCAGAAAAGACAAAAGCAGAAAACAACACTTGACTAAGAGAGGAGTGTCTCATAAAGGCCACCCATAGCAAAACCAAAATCTTGACTCCACTTACATCAGTTCCCTTGATCCTTACACATCAGGACTGGGCAACCGTGGACCTCCCAGCCAGGAAACAAGGTGGCAATCATCATCCATCCAGGGATTACACAGCAGAGAAGATAATAAAAAGATTGATAGTTTTCAAACGATTTCTACATTTCTCCTTTCACTATTTGTTATTTAGGAGTCACATTGTTATGATAGTGTCTTAAGGAATCAAGTGAGCTATAAGATTAAGGTCTTGACCCTCACTGGGTCTTCGTCCATTAATTATACTTCCTAGGTGAACTTGGATCAAGTTTATATACATCTTTAAGCCAGTTAACTTTTAAGAGATTTCGAGAGTATCTACAAGCAGTAGTAAGTAGTAGCATTTGTAGTCAAACATTTATCTACTCATTGATCAATGCCACCATATTTATTTACATTTGTATTTGTGTGAATATTTACAGCATGTCATTGATCCACTAAGAAAATTCACGAAAGTGCATGCTTCTAATGAAGAGTGTGTGCTCCACAAGCCTAATGGTTTTTCCAGGCTAACAGGAGCAAATGAGATGTGTTATGATGAGAAAGAACCTCAGACACCCATAATTGTAGTCATCGTCCATGACTTATAGCGCCGCAGGGGAATTGTCATCATTGGTCCGTGATAGCCTACCACTTCTCTAGTCATATGTGTGTGCATGTTTGTTATTTAACGCAGTAATTCATTAACAATAAAAGTGCCTCTGATTTCATTTTGTTTTTTTTTTTTCCAGAATACCTGACCTCTGCTCTAAACTACAATAACATAGAGCAAAACAAGACAATAATTTTGAATATTACTCACACAGGATTTGGACTTCACGTAAGCACTGAGATTAAGTGTAGAGATTATGGGTGTGGCCCAGTGTTTAAAGCAGACTGAAGCCATTCCTTCAGTGGGACGAGCACTGTGGATGATGAAAATTTAATACTTTAACTATGAAAGTATGTAAATCTTTTTCTGTAGATGTTGGTGAATCTGTGGTAATAGCTATTTATTTTGAACTTAAAAATTTTAAGTCTTTGGGTTTGGTTCTTTTTAATGTGTATTGTTTTGGCAACATTTTAATAATAAAGAGTTAAGAATTTAATAATGTCACCCTTTCCTCCCTTAAGTATTAAAGCAAAGACCCACGATAAGCCATGAAGCCAGTAGCCATGAGAAAAGATCGAAGGATATAGAACTCAGAGATAAACACCTATTCCGTGATAAACCTAGCATTACAGGTATTGTGCGTCTAACTGAGTCCAGGGTGTCTACCAGTACAAAGAGAGAAATATTAAATGAATGGAGAGATCGGAGGCAAAGTCTAGAGTCCGACTTTTGTAGCCAAAAACAAAACTCAACAAACCCTGACTGGGACTAACCTCGTGTTTGCTGTAGACGAAGCTCACTGTCAAAGCCAAAGAGTCATTTACAGTGTTAGACGTATTAGCTTTCCTACAACTGAATACCAGATAAAACCATAAGAACCAAAACTGGTCCATGTGTCTGTCTAGCTGCACATTCCCTACTCAACAGGAAGTGCTAAATCTTCTGAGTGAACCTAGGTAGAAGGCAAGTAGATCCTGACTCAGTCTCTGCAGCTGTCTGTCAAATGTAAATGTGTAAAGAGCCATCTGCATGCATATGGGATTCCTTATTCCAGAAACTTCAAGGAGACAGCACAGAAGTGGTATAATACTACAGTGTGTCTTAATAAAGAAATACAACCACCTTGTGAAAACATGAGTGGTTCAGTTGAATTGGTGTTCTAAAGAGTCTCGGACCGGATGAACCATCCAACTCTTTGGCAACAGCAGGTCCTCACTAGCCTCCACTTTTCTTCAAAACTTGAGATAACAATACCCTGTTTCTGTGTTTATTATAGTGCCAATGCAGCTGTGATTCAAAGGAAAAAGTACAATAAAAAAGACAGATGTTATCATATACATGACAGATGATGGATAGGTAGGTAGGTAGAGAGATAGATAGAAAGATAGATAGATAGATAGACAGAGAGATACGTATATACATACATACATTAATGATGGATTTACAGTTCGAAGATGGATAGACAGACAGACAGATCCATAGACAGAGAGATAAAGAGATACAGATAAATACAAGGAATCCAATATGTTATTAAATGTGCTTTAGAGCAATTCTTAAGTATGCTTTAGATCAATTCTTTGATTCAGTGTGTCATCAGATTTCTTTTAAAATTAATGATATTAAGAAACTGTGTCCATGATATTTGGTATCTGTCTTCAACTGGATGTGTCCTTCTTGAGCAGTGCATAATTCATTAAAGAATAAGGAGAAGCAGTCAGAGTAACACAGGAAAATGAACTGTACTTACTTGGTCACTGTGCTCCCAAGACCCTAGGCTCGCCGCAGACGTCGTGATCCACATGGAAGGGCAACTCAGGAATATCCAGAGAGATGAAAAGAGGAAGGGATTATACACAAAATCACAAAACCATGTTCTCTACAATGACCTCTGTGTTGTTTGTTTCTTATCTCACTCATCTACGAATATAAAATGTTGATACATTCTTCTTGAGAAAGTACACAGGAGCCCCGGTTCTAACCTTCACAAGAATTTTGACCACCATTTTATCTTTTGATTTTAATTTTTGTTTATTTAAGAGTTCTTTTTTCACATTAGATTCCAACCACAGTTCCCTTTCCCACCCCCACCCCACCCACCACCCCCCACGCCCGCTGCTCCCACCCACCCTCCATCTTTCCTCCTCCACCCAGCCTCCTATCCAGTCCTCAGGGAGGGTAAGGCCTCCCACGGGGAGTCAAGGAAGTCCACCATATCAAGGTGAGGCAGGACCAAGCCCCTCTCTGCTGCATCAAGGCTGAGCAAGGCATCCCTCCACGGGGAATGGGCTCCAAAAAGCCAGTTCATGCACGAAGGATAAATCCTGGTGCCACTGCCAGTGGCCCCATAAATTGTCCAAGTCACACAACTGTCACCCACATTCCGAGGGCCTAGTTCGGTCCCATGCAGGTTCCCCAGTTGTCAGTCCAGAGTCAGTGAGCTCCCATTAGCTCAGGTCTCTGTGGGGTTCCCCATCATGATCTTGTCCCCTTTGCTCATATAATCTCTCCTCCTTTGCTTCAACTGGACTCCGGGAGCTCCACAAAGTGCTTAGCTGTGGATCTCTGCATCTGCTTCCATTAGTACTGGATGAAGGTTCTATGATGACAATTAGGGTAGTCATCAATCTGATTAGAGGGGAAGGCCAGTTGAGGCACCCCCTCCACTACGGCTTGGAGTATTAGCTGGGCTCATCCGTGTGGATCCCTTCTACATGGGATTTTCCCTTCTACGAGGTTTCTTCCTTACCCCGTAATGGCTCCCTCCATCAGGACATCTCTTTCATTTCTCTCCATCTCTGTCCCTCCCCCAAATCCACCATCTACTTCCCTCAGGTTCTCTTACCACCCCCCCCCCCTTATCTCCACCCCTCCTCCCAGGTTGGCAATTCACTCAGGAGTTCTTATTGATTTCCTCTTCCCAGGAGGATGCATGTACTCCTATCTCTCTTAAGGCCCTCCTTGATACCTAGTATCTCTGGGGCTGTGCACTGCAGCCTGGTTATCCTTTGCTTTACTTGACTATCATTTCAAACAGCACAAAGCATCCTTAGCCAAGGGAATTATACCTCTGGAAATTCATTACTAGTGGGTTCCTCAACATTGATATATATCTAAATATATCTATATCTACATCTATCTATCTATATGTATATATGTATATATATACATATAGATACATTACTACATGGTACTATTTGAGAATCCGTTCCCCTCTCCTGTGTTTTAATTGACTCTAATTATATGAATGTAATGAAAACTCATGAACAAAAATACTATGATATATACACTATCACGTACTACACCTGACATCTATCACAGTTCCTCACTACATGTGTTCTGGTGTGAAGCTTAGACACTCAGACCTGTAGTCAGTCACTCTCCATGGATCAATCATCATCAGTGTTCATCACTGACCCAACACCGCCTTTTCCTTTCTCTCACACTCTCTATATATTTATCACCTAACTATTCATGTCACTTGGAGTAGTCCTATAACAAGTCACAAAATCTAGATGTTTTGAAATTATGCAACAGATTTTGTGCCACCCTGATTCTGTCTTTGTACTTCATTTTGGAAATCCCCAACACTGTGCTCATGGTCATGTTTAATTGAGCACACAGTCTCCATTGGCCTACAGGAGCCTATGCATGCCTTTACCAAGACAACCTAAATGTGGGATCAAGGCCACCCAAAGCAAAACAAGGACTTGGACTCCACTTACATCAGTTCCCTTGATCCTTACACATGGGGACAGGGCAACCACGGACCTCCCAGCCAGGAAACACGGTGCCAATCATCATCCTTCCAGGAAGTACAAAGGAAGAATGATAATAAAAAGATTGATATTTATCAAATGATTTCTACATTTCTCCTTTCTAACTATTTGTTATTTAGGACTCACATTGTTATGATAGTGTCTTAAGAAATCAAGTGAGATTTAAAATTAGGGTCTTGACCCTCACTGGGGCTTAATCCATTAATTATACTTCATATATGAAGTTGGATAAAGTTTATATACATTTTTAAGCCAATTATTTCATAACAGACTTCCAAAGTTTTCACTAGTAGTCGCATTTCTAGTAAAATATTTATTTACAAGTTGATCAATTTCCCGAAAATTTATTTATTACAAATTACAAATATATATATATATACAAGTATATATTTGTGTGACTATATCATGTTTCACTTATCCCTTGGCTATGGAAGGCACATAGGATGTGTTATGATGAGAACCTCAGACACCCAGAATTGTAGTCATCATCCGTGACTTATACTGACACCCCAAAGTTGGTCATCATTGGTCCATATTAGCCTTCCTCTTCTCTAGTAATCTGTGCATGTTACTGCTTAACACATTAATTAATTAACAAAAGCACCTGTAATTTTATTTAGTTCTTCAGAATACTGAATCCCTTTCATATACATCTATACTCTATAATAACATACGGCATCCCATTAAGCAAAACAAAAAAAATATTTTGAATATTACTCACACCGGATTTGGGGCTTCACTACACACCAAGAGGAAGTGTAGAGATTATGAATGTGGCCCAGTGTTTAAAGCAGACTGAAGCCATTCCTTCTGAGGGATGAGCACTGTGGATGATGAAAATTTCATGATTTAACTAATATAACCTTTGTAAAAATTTTTCTGTAGATGTTTGTGACACTGTGGTAATTGCTATGTATTTTCACTTAATAAATTTTAAGTCTTTAGGTGTGGTTCATTTAAGTATTTAATGATTTTAGCAATATTTTTAAAATAACATTTTAAGAAATTCATAATATCAAACTATTCTCCCTTTAGGTATTAAAACAAAAACCCAAAATGAACCATGAAGTCAGCAGCTAAGAGCAAAGATTTTAGGATGCAGAACTCAGAGAGATAAAGACATATTCTCTGATTACCAGAGCATGATGGGTGTTTGTGTTCCCTCTGGGGAGTACAAACAGGTACAAAGACAGAAATATTAAACAATTTTTTACTCATCCAAGAATATAAAATTATGATACATTCTTCCTGAGAAAATTACACGGGAGACATGGTTTTAAACCTATCAAGAACTTTGACCATGATTTCAATCAGCACACAGCATCCACAACCATGGGATTATACCTGTGGAAATTCAGTAAGAGTGGATTTCTGTACTTTGGTATATATACTGTTAATTCTACTACTTGGTATTATTTTGGAGAATGTTTTCACCTCCAAATTATATCATCCTCTAATTATGTAAATGTGATGAAAACACATGAACATAAATATTATGATAACACACTATACTACATCATGCTTCTATATCATAATTTCACACTACATGTGATCTGGTGTGAACCTTAGACTCCTAGTCCTTAATCATGATCCAGGGATCATACATAATCAGAGGTCATCACTAAACAACACTGTCTTTACTATCTCAAAAATTCCTATATTTTTATTACATATATCTATAACTTATAAGAGTTATATGACTATTTCAAAATCGTAGCAAAATCAAGTGTTCTGAAGATATCCAACAGATGTTGTACCATATTGACTCTCTGTCATTTGTCATAATTTTGCAAGTCCTCAACACTGTGTTCATGGTAATGTCGATTTGACACAAAGACAGACTTGGCATAACAGCAGCCTATGCATGGCTTTACTGTTATAGAATATTATTTTAAGGTATATTAATTTTGTTTAGAGATCATTTGTTTAACTCTGTGAAGCTCTGCTCCTGTACCTGACTAAAACACCTAATGGTCTAATAAACAACTGAATGGCCAATTGCAAGGCAGAAGAAAGATAGATGGAGCTGGCAGGCAGAGTGAATTAATAGAAGGAGAAATCTGGGAAAGGTAGACAGAAGGAGCAAGAGAAGGAGAAGGATATCAGGCGCCAGCCACCCAGCTACACGGCAAACCACGGAGTAAGAGCAAGATTTACAGAACTAAGAGAACTGGAAAAGCCCAGAGGCATAAGGTAGATTGGATAAGGTAAATTTAAGGAAAGGTGTCAATATACAAGCCAAGCTAAGGCTGGCTATCTATAAGTAAGAATAAGCCTCCATGTGTGATTTATTTGGAAGCTGGGTGGCCTGCCCCACAAAAGACTAAAACAACCTACAACACTTTACCAAGACGTAAGTGTCTTAATAAGGCCACCTATAGCAAAACAAAAAATTTGACTCCACTTACATCAGTTCCCTTATACATGTGGCCAGGGGAACCATGGCCCTCTCAGCCAGGAAGCAATGTGTCAGTCATCATCCATTCAGGAAGTTCAAAGGAAGAAAGATAATAAAAAGATTGATATTTTACAAATTATTTCTTTTTTTTTCCTTTTTTGTTTCCTTTCCTGAGACAGGGTTTCTCTGTGTTGTTTTGGTGCCTGTCCTGGATCTCACTCTGTAGACCAGGGTGGCCTTCAAGTCACAGAGATCCACCTAGCTCTGCCTCCCAAGTGCTAGGATTAAAGGCTTGCACCACCATGGCCCGGCTCTAACAAATTATTTCTACATTTCTCCTTTCAATATTTGTTATTTAGGATTCTCATTGTTATGATAGTGCCTTAAGAGATAAGTGACATTGAAAATTAAGATCTTGAACCCCACTGGGGTTATATCCATTAAGTATACTTTATTTGTGAATTTGGATAAAGTTTACATTATATATATATATGTATATATATATATATATATATATATATATATATATATATATATCTTCACGACAGTTATTTCTAAAAGATTTCCATAATTTCTACATTACTAGTAGTATCATTAGTGGCAAAATATTTACTTACTACTTGATCAATACTGGAAAATTTTATTATCATTTATATTTGTGTGAATATTTATATCATGTTTTATTGATCTACTAAGAAAATGCATGAAAGTGCCTGATTCTAATGGACAGTATGTGCTCCACATGCCTAACATGTATCTCCTGGCTAAGAAGGGCACATAGGATGTGTGGTGATGTGACCTCAGACACCAGAATTGTAGTCATCGTCTGTGACTTATATTGCCAACCCAGATTTGGTCATCATTGGTCCGTATTAGCCTTCCTCTTCGCTAGTAATGTGTGTATGTTTGTTGTTTAACACATTAATTCAAAACAATAAATGTCCCTGTGATTATATTTTGCTCTTTGGAATAACCAAATCCCTTGCTAAGATACATGCTATACTCTATAATAACATAGAGCATCATTGAACAAAACAAAAAAATAAATTTGAATATTACTCACACAGGATTTGGGTCTTCATATATACACTGAGATTAAGTGTAGCGATTATGAGTGTGGCCCAGTGTTTAAAGCAGACTGAAGCCATTCCTTCTGAGGGATGAGCACTGTGGATGATGAAAATTTCATGACTTGACTAATGTAAGCCTTGTAAACTGTTTCTACAGATGTTTGTGACACTGTGGTAATAGCTATGTACTTTCACTGAATAGTGTTTAAGTCTTTGGGTGTAGTTCATTTAAGTGTGTAATGATTTTAGCAATATTTTTAAAATAACAGTTTATGGAATTTATTAATGTCAACCTTTCCTCCCTTTAAGTATTAAAACAAAGACCCAAAATGAACCACGAAGTCAGCAGCTATGAGCATAGATTTCAGGATATAGAACTCAGTGAGATAAAGACACATTCTCTGATTACCTGAGCAAGATCGGTGTTTGTGCGTCCCTCTAGGGAATACAAACTGGTACAAACACAGAAATATAACACAAATGGAAAAATACGATGTCTCAGTCTATACTCAGATTTTTGTAGCCAAACCTAGCTCAACAAAAATTGATTGGGGCTAACCTCATGTTTGCTGTATACTAAGCTCACTGGCAAAGCTAATGAGTCACTTAAGAGTGCAAGAAGTATTAACTTTCCTACAACTCAACACCAGACAAAACCATAAGAACCAAGACTGGTCCATGTGTCTGTCTAGCTAAACATCCCCTGTTTAACATGGAGAGTTAAATCTTCTGAGTGAACCTAGGTAGAAGGCAAGTAGATCCTGACTGAGTCTCTGCAGCTGTCTGTCAAATGTAAATATGTAAAGAGCCATCTGGATGCATATGGGATTCCTTATTCCAGTAACTTCAAGGAGACAGCACAGAAGTGGTGTAATACTATAGTGTGTCTTAATAAATAAATACATTCACCTTGCAAAAACATGAGTGGTTAAGTGTATTTGTCTATTCTACAGACCTTATGGGACTGAATTAACTATCTACGTGTTTCACAACAGAAGAAACTCACTAACCTCCTCTTTAGCTTCATTACCTGAAATAAAAATATGCTTTTTTTCTGTATTTATGATAGTGGCAACATAGGAGTGAGTCAACAGAAACAGACCAATATTAATGTCAGTTTATATTATATAGATGATAGATCAATAGATACATAGATATGTACATATATGGATGGATGGATAGACGGATGGATAGATGGATGGATAGACGGATCAAAAATATGACAGATCAAGGATAGATGATTACATAGGAAGGAAAGAAAGAAAAAGAAAGAAAGAAAGAAAGAAAGAAAGAAAGAAAGAAAGAAAGAAAGAAAGGGAGGGAGGGAGGGAGGGAGGAAGGAAGGGAGAGAGAGAGAGAAAAAGAAAGAAAGAAAGAAAGTCACAAAGAAGACGATAGAGTAGGATAGATAGATAGATTTAGATAATGGATGGATTAATAGAAAGATGATGGATGGATAGATAGATAAATACATAGATACATAGGTACATAGAAGATACATAAATAGATAGACAATTGATGTATACATGATGGATGGATAGAAATGTAGACAGACAGATATATATGATGAGGTAAATACAAGGTATCATATATGCTATTAAGTATGATTTAGATCAATTCTTTGATTCAGTGTATTATCAGATATATTTTAATCTTAATGATAGTAAGAAACTGTGTCCATGATATTTTACATCTGTCATCAACTGGATGTGCCATTCTTGAGTAATCTGTAATTCATTTAAGAATAAGGAGAAGCAGTCAGAGTAATAAAGGAAAATGAACTGTACTTACATGGTCACTCTGCTCCCAAGACCCTAGGTTAGCCATAGACATCATCATCCAGTTGGAAAGGCAACTCAGCTTGGGAATATCAGAGAGATGAAAGGAAGAATGCATTATAAACACAATCAAGATCTATACAATGACCCTGTGTTGTTTCTTTTTTATTTCACTCATCTATGAACATAAAATTATGATACATTCTTCCTGAGAAAATCTCACAGGAGATCCAGTTCTAACACTAACAACAACTTTGACCACCATTTCAATCAGCACACAGCATCCAGAGCCATAGGATTATATTTTAAGGTGTGTTACTTTTGTTTAGGTAGCATTTGTTTAATCTGTGAAGCTCTGCTCCTGAACCTGACTAAAACACCTGATGCTCTAATAAACAACTGAATGGCCAATTGCAAGGCAGAAGAAAGATAGATGGAGCTGGCAGGCAGAGAGAATTAACAGAAGGAGAAATCTGGGAAAGGTAGACAGAAGGAGCAAGAGAAGAAGAAGGATATCAGGCGCCAGCCACCCAGCTACACGGCAAACCATGGAGTAAGAGCAAGATTTACAGAACTAAGAGAACTGGAAAAGCCCAGAGGCATAAGGTAGATTGGATAAGGTAAATTTAAGGAAAGGTGTCAATATACAAGCCAAGCTAAGGCTGGCTATCTATAAGTAAGAATAAGCCTCCATGTGTGATTTATTTGGAAGCTGGGTGGCCTGCCCCATAAAAGTCTAAAACAACCTACAACACTTTACCAAGATGTGAATGTCTTACCAAGGCCACCTATAGCAAAGCAAAAAATTTGACTCCACTTACATCAGTTCCCTTATACATGTGGCCAGGGGAACCGTGGCCCTCTCAGCCAGGAAGCAATGTGTCAGTCATCATCCATTCAGGAAGTTCAAAGGAAGAAAGATAATAAAAAGATTGATATTTTACAAATTATTTATTTTTTTTTCCTTTTTTGTTTCCTTTCCTGAGACAGGGTTTCTCTGTGTTGTTTTGGTGCCTGTCCTGGATCTCACTCTGTAGACCAGGGTGGCCTTCAACTCACAGAGATCTGCCTGGCTCTGCCTCCCAAGTGCTGGGATTAAAGGCTTGCACCACCACTGCCTGGGTCTAACAAATTATTTCTACATTTCTCCTTTCAATATTTGTTATTTAGGATTCTTGTTGTTATGATGGTGTCTTAAGAGATCAAGTGAGATTTAAAATTAAGATCTTGAACCCCACTGGAGTTATATCCATTAAGTATACTTCATTTGTGAACTTGGATAAAGTTTATATACATCTTTATGCCAATTATTTCTTAACAGATTTTCATAATTTCTGCATTAGTAATAGTATCATTAGTGGCAAAATGTTTACTTACTACTTGATCAATGTTGGAAATTTTTATTATCATTTATATTTGTGTGAATATTTATATCATGTTTCATTGATCTACTAAGAAAATGCATGAAAGTGCCTGATTCTAATGGACAGTATGTGCTCCACATGCCTAACATGTATCTCCTGGCTAAGAAGGGCACATAGGATGTGTGGTGATGTGAACCTCAGACACCAGAATTGTAGTCATCGTCTGTGACTTATATTGCCAACCCAGATTTGGTCATCATTGGTCCATATTAGCCTTCCTCTTCTCTAGTAATGTGTGTATGTTTGTCGTTTAACACATTAATTCAAAACAATAAATGTCCCTGTGATTATATTTTGTTCTTTGGAATAACCAAATCCCTTGCTAAGATACATGCTATACTCTATAATAACATAGAGCATCATTGAACAAAACAAGAAAATAAATTTGAATATTACTCACACAGGATTTGGGTCTTCATATAAACACAGAGATTAAGTGCAGAGATTATGAGTATGGCCCAGTGTTTAAAGCAGACTGAAGCCATTCCTTCTGAGGGATGAGCACTGTGGATGATGAAAATTTCATGACTTAACTAATGTAAGTCTTGTAAAACTTTTTCTACAGATGTTTGTGACACTGTGGTAAGAGCTACCTACTTTCACTGAATAGCATTTAAGTCTTTGGGTCTAGTTCATTTAAGTGTGTAATGATTTTAGCAATATTTTTATAATAACATTTAAAAAATTTTATAATGTCAACCTTTCCTCCCTTAAGTACTAAAGCAAAGATCCACAATGAACTGTGAAGCCAACAGCTATGAGCACAGATTTCAGCAAGTAGGATTAGAGAGGTAAGCAGCCTTCCTTGATTACCTGGGCATGACAGGTGTTTGTGTGTCTATCTGAACAGTACAAACAATACAGAAATATTAAATGAATGGATAGATAGGGAGGCTCAGTCTATTCACAGAGTTTTGTAGCCATGTCCAGCTTAACAAACATTGATTGGGACTAAACTCATGTTTGCTGTATACTAAGCTCACTGGCAAAGTCAAAGAGTCACTTACAGTGTGAGAAGTATTGCCTTTCCTACAACTGAACACCAGAAATAAAACATAAGAACCAAGAATGGTCCAAGTGTCTGTCTAGCTAAACATCCCCTACTCACCAGGGGAGAGTTAAATCTTCTGAGTAAAAGCAGATAAAAAGAAGTTGTCCCTGACTCAGTCTCCACCCTTGTCTGTCCAATGTAAATGTACAAGGAGCCAAGTGGAGGCATAGGGGATTCTTTATCCCTCAAACTTCAAGGAGACAACACAGAAACCATATAATACTATAGAGTGTCTAAATAAATAAATACTGTAGCCGTTTAAAAACATGAATGGTTCAGTTGATTTGTATTTTCTAGAGTCATATGGAACTGGATTAATCATCCACTTATTTCACAACAAAAAGCCCTCACGTTCCTTCACTTTGGATTCATTAATTGAGATAACAATATGGTTTTCTCTACTTAAGATAGTATCATTGCAACTGTAGTTACATGGGAAAAGGAAAATACTTATGACAGATTGTATCATATATGTTATAGTGATAAATAGATCAAAGATGGATCAATAGATAGATGATGAATAGATACATGATAGATAGAAAGATAGAGAAAAATACAATTTAGGAATGTTATTAAGTATGCTTTAGAACAACTCTTTGTTTCAGTGTGTCAACAGATTTATTTTAATCTTAATGATATTAAGTAAAGGTCCATGATATTTTACATCTGTCATCACCAGATGTGTTATTCTTGAGTAATTTGTAATTCATTTAAGAATAAGGAGAAGCAGTCAGAGTAACACAAGAACATGAACTCTACTTACATGATCACTGTGCTCCAAAGACCCTTGACTAGCCGTAGACATCGTGACCCAAATGGAATGGTAACTCGCCTTGGGAATATCCAGAGCAATGAAAAAATAATGGATTATAAACACAATCAAGTTCTATACAATGACCCTGGGTTTGTTTCTTTTTTATTTTACTTCTCTATGTATATAAAACTATGATAAATTCTTCTTGAGAAAATATACAGGTGACCTGGGTCTAACCTTAACAAGAATTTTGACCACAATTTTAAACAGTATACAGCATCCTTAGTCAAGGGATTATACCTCTGCAAATGTATTACTGGTAGGTTTCCTAACTTTGATATATATGCTGTTAGCATTGCTCATTGGTATTATTTGAGAATGCTTTTCCCTCTCATGTGTTTTATTTGACTCTAACTATGAACACAGAAGTTATGATGACACACTATACTACATCTAACATGTATATAAGAGTCCCACACTACATGTCTTCTGGTATGGAGCTCAGACTCCCAGACCTGTAGTCATGATCCATGGATCATACATCATCAGTGGTCATCATTGATGCAACACTGCCTTTTCCTCTCTCTCACACTTTCTATATTTTTATTACCTAACAATTTGTGGCACTTGTAGTAGTCATATAACAATTCACAAAATCTGGATGTTTTGAAATTATGCAACAGATTTTATGCCACCCTGATTCTGTCTTTCCTCTTAATTTTAGAAATCCTCAACACTGTGCTCATGGTCATGTTTAATTGAGCACACAGTCATAGTTGGCCTAACAGGAGCCTATGCATGCCTTTACCAAGACAACCTAAATGTGGGATCAAGGTCACAAGCAAAACAAGGACTTGGACTCCACTTACATCAGTTCCCTTGATCCTTACACATGGGGACAGGGCAACCACGGACCTCCCAGCCAGGAAACAAGGTATCAATCATCATCCTTCCAGGAAATACAAAGGAAGAATGATAATAAAAATTGATATTTATCATATGATTTTTACATTTCTCCTTTGACTATTTTTTACTTAGGATTCACATTGTTATGACAGTTTCTTAAGAATTCAAGTGAGATTTGAAATTAAGGTCTTCACTCTACTGGGGCTTAAATCATTACTCATAGTTCATATAGGAACTTGGATAAAATTTATATACATCTTCAGGCCAATTATTTCTTAACAGATTTCTACAAAATCCACATAGATTAGTATCAGTTGTGGTAAAATATTTACTTATTAGTTGATCAATCATCAAAAAAAATTTCCTTTGTATTTGTATTAACATTTATATCATGTTTCATTGAGTTACTAAAAAAATGCATGAAAGTGCCTGATTCTAATGGTCAGTATGTGCTCCACATGCCTAAAGTTTATTCCCTGGCTAAGAGAGGCACATAGGATGTGTGGTGATGTGAACCTCAGACACCAGAATTGTAGTCATTGTCCTTGACTTATATCACCGCCGGGAACAGGTCATCATTGGTCCATATTAGCCTTACTCTTCTCTAGTAATGTGTGCATGTTTGTTGTTTAACACATGAATTCCTAAACAGTAAAAGTGCCTCTGATAAATTTGTTTTTCAGAATACCAAATCCTTTGCTGAGATACATTGTATACTCTATAGTAACATAGAGTAATCCATTGAGCTAAACAAGATAATAATTTTGAATATTACTCACACAGGTTTTGGGTCTTGAGGTAAACACCGAGAGTGTGTGTAGAGATTATTAATGTGGCCCGTTGTTTAAAGCAGACCGAGCCACTGCTTCTGAGGGATGCGCACTGTGAATGATGAAAATTTAATGAGTTAACTTATGTAAGCTATAGATATTTGTGAATCTGTGGTAATAAAGTATTTTCACTTAATAAAAATTAAGTCTTTGGGTCATGTGGGACTGGATCAAGCCTCTCCCTTTTTTACAACAGCAGGACCTATCTAGCCCCCACTTTGGCATCGTAACTTGAGATAACAATATGCTGTTTCCATATTTATGGTAGTGCCATTACAACTGTGATTCCATAGAATTAAGAAAATAGTCTTTTGAGAATAGATGTTCAATAATTGAAAAGACTCATTTTTCTAATTTTTTAATTGAACTGAGGATTGGAATTGAAATCCAGTGGAAAGCAGAAGAGTAATCACAGTGGTTCATCTGGGGCACTTTATCAGCCTAGACTCATGGGTAAGCTCTCTTTAATTGGGGTTTTATTTAGTGAATAATCAAATTAAATAAATATTTTATCTTTCCTTAATAAAAAATATACCCACATATCTGAAAACATTAAACATTTATTCAGATGTTTCTTGTCTTCCAGCATCAGCCTCAATCAATACATTACTAGAATGCTGTGCTACTATTCATAAATGCATTTGTAATGATTCTTATTTCATTAAATACTTACATATTTGGAAGAGAAATTACCCATTTTGTTCGTGTTCATTATTTGGAAGAGAAATGACCCATTTTGTTCGTGTTCATTTATACTGTTCGTGGTTGATTTACACACTGCTTTAGTGCAAAGAAACCCAAGAGTACAACACATGTTATTTTTGATTTCTAGATTAAGTTCATATCCCTAAGAGATAATTGATGGGATTTTTCGAAATGGACCTGAGTTATAGGGCTTAATCAAAGTCCTCCATTCAGACATCCCAGGGTACTCCTCATTGATCCATAAGCAATCTTTGACCTTTTTCTTTTTCTTTCAGAGACAGTTTTGTTTATTGACCCATTCATCGCCTCACTGGCAGCAATAAAATAAATATTCATGAATTGAAAAGAAATAGCCAAGAACAATAAGATTGTTTGGACCCAAGGTCTCTTCGTAGGCTCTTTTCTCATAACTTAGCGCTTTTCCGATCTTTTTCCAGGGGCCTTCAGTGAACCATGGATGGATCAATTCCCATGCCTGCCTCACAGCCATCACATCTAGGCTTCTTTCTTCTTCCCGTGTGTCCCCTTGTGTATGAGGAGCTCTCTAACACGCTTTGCAGAACAATGCATATGTGTTACTAATCGCATCTCCAACACAGCTCCCCATAACCTCAGGTAGCTGTCAAGTACTTGAAATGTGGCCACTGCAATAAAGAAAGTGCATTTCACATTTCCTTTCACTTTAATTACTTTATATATAAGCGGGCTTGTGTGTGTGTGTGGTGGCAGCCATATTGGAGATGCAGCCTTAGATATTGTTCAGTAGATAACTTGTAAGTAAACTACAGTGCACGAATAAAATGGTTTGGGAGTAATATATGCCAATTGGATTCATAGCAATTGTTTCATAACACATTTGTATCATTGGCCTGCAGAGAGCTAAACTTAAATAATTCAATGAACACTACAAAGAAATCCCCCCTGATTTACAGGACTCTGACTGTTATGTAGTCGTAAAGTGTCCTAACCACAGTGGTGACAGGCAAACTCCCATCTCAAAGAGGAACTCCGTCCACTGTAGTCTTCATTCTGTGATATCAAATACCAAATTTTAAAATAATGAGCCATTTAGATTCAGAACATTTTAGAAGAGATTAGTTTGGTACTAAAATATTCATGAAGTCAATTCTTGTTTTTCGCATTGACCAAATAATAGGCCACCTTTTCAATTACCTAACTAGTCATTTTCAGTGATAAAATGAACCAAGTTCAATTCATCACTTTGAAACAAGAGTGATCAAGATTGTGCATACCAGTCTGCATGTCCCACCACAAGCAGCAGCATAATCCTCTCTTTTTTTTTTTTTTTTTTTTTTTTTTTTTTTTTTTTTTGGTTTTTCTAGACAGGGTTTCTCTGTATAGCTTTGCGCCTTTCCTGGATCTCACTCTGTAGACCAGGCTGGCCTCGAACTCACAAAGATCCACCCGGCTCTGCCTCCCGAGTCCTGGGATTAAAGGCGTGCGCCACCACCGCCCGGCCCATAATCCTTTTTCAAATTGACTATTTTTGAAAAAAAAAAGAAAGAATGAATTTACAGTATACTCCTCTAGAACGCACAATTAGTACACATTCATCAAAAAATTAAATGAATCATAACAATAGAAAATAAAATGAAGCCTGGAATTTTTAAACATAAATATTCTAGATGTTACGTTTTGTTTTGTTTTTAGTGAGAGGAAGGGCAGAGACCAAGTGTCACTGTGTAGCTCAGGCTGGCCCTGAACTTATGATCCTCTTGTTATACACACACACACACACACACACACACACACACACACACACACACACACACCTTACTGGATTCAGTATTATAAGAACAGACAATGTCTATACTGTGGTTCATGATGCCTGAAACCCAGCTCTGTTCACTCTAATCCAGTCATGTATCTCATGCCTGAACAATTTCTCATTTAAAAAAATCAGTCTATATGCATGAGCTGTGAACATCTCTGAACCAAATTCCCAAATATCCTGAGCATCTGCTCTAAGCCCATTTACTTCACAGACACAGGAGGCCACTTTGAAAATGTAGATATCAGAGTTCCAGATGTTTAATCAAAGTTTTGATTCAGACATCTTCTGATCCCATCCCTGGTCCTTACTCAGGAGCATTCCTTCTCATTTTAAATCTTCATTTTCTCATGAAACACTGTGCTTTTACACAGAATATGACCTGGGACATGGCTACAATATTTCTCCAGACTTAACTCACACAAAGTGCACACAGCAGAGCGTCTACCAATGACTGGGGCCTGAGCTGTGTCTATGAAATTATTCTTATTGGAATAAGAGGGAGAAGGAATAAGCAAGATCCATGATGGCATCCCACAACTACAGCATACACAATAAGCCACCTTTCAGGAGCTTCCTCTACACAATTAGCAGCCAGGGTATCTACCAACCTGAACATGCCTAAACCAGCTGTGGTGAAGAAAAGATGTGTACTGTCAACAGCTCTAGGATACAATTCCTTTCCGCTTTTTGAAGCTCATCTTTGTTTTTTGTTTGTTTGCCAACAGGGGTTTCATCCTACTCATTGGCCCATTTCACTTCTATCCACAGGTCTCCACTCAGTGTTTTTGGGCTTAATTGGGGGTAAATAATCTTCTACTTTGTACTTCTGCGACTGTCTATGAACAAAGTTAGGGCAGAAGCTCACCTCATGTTGTTACCATCACTACTCCTTACCCCTAGAAGTAACAACTAAGATCGTCATGGGACGATGACAAAATCCAAGGCTAGGTACTTATTCTGAGAAAAAGGCAGACTGCAAAATGAATCAAATATATACACTTCAGTAGACTTCTGAGTCAATGTTAGCACTGCTTTACTTAACATGAGAGGGGATTTTGCCAACTTCAGCATCCCCAAACTGATATTTCTACACACTAAGTTGCTGCATTTTTCACACAAAATTAAAAAATTGAAAGATCTTTGACTCTGCCACTCAAAACAAAACAAAAAGAAAGATTATTGATATCTTTCTAGATTAATTCTTATCTGTTCATCTGTCTGTTGAGGTGGATGGATGTGCCTCTCAAGCAACACAAAGGCCAGAGAACTCTTAGGAGAGAAACTTACACAAAATGGGATGAATTTTTAATTCATATTCCATTAGCAATCAACCAAAGGGCTGCACTGTCATCCGGTCTAGGTATTTACTGATTCATTTATTCAATAACTCTGCAAATCATGTAATTATCTATTATCTCGTTCTAAAGAACACAAAATTGTCATTACTCCTTTTACGTATTTACTGCCACCTGAAATTTTGCATAGTAGCCCTGTCTATATCAGCAAGACTTGGTGCAGAAATGCACACTGTTCAGTGTGGTAGCCACCATGGCATGTGGCTTGGGAAGTGGCTAGTATGATTGAGAAACTTGATTTTTTTTTAAGTAATTTGAACTTAATGCATCTGAACAGTGGGGTTTGTGTAACTCCTTAAGAAAAAGGAAGGTGCCTGGTCTTTGTCTCAGTAGACTTGAAGAGGGTGGGGAGGATTGATTAACTAATTAATTAATTGTGTATTTGTTTACTTTTTAAATTTTTAAATAAAAAAAATTAAATCACCTTTGAGGTAGGTCTTCTTATGTAGCTAAGACTAGCCTGGATTCACAGTAATCCTTTTGCCTCAGCCTCCTCAGTATTTGGTTTATAAATATGCACTGCCATTCCTATCCTCCTGTAATGAATTCGGGCATGAAACTATTCTTTTACACACTTGAAATAATAGTAACCATCTTCATCAACCCTCAGGATAATGGGCCAAAACATCAAGTGATGCTTGTATTTGTCCACTAATTTATTATAAAATGATCCATAAATTCATTTTAAAAAACCAATTAAGTTGCAAATATTGTGTTGCATTTTTCTTTTCAGATGAAAATTAGTGAAGGTAAGAGGATCTGTAAAAATTATTCATTTTCAGAGTTCAGGCTTTGATGGTTCCCATGTTTCAAGGGCTAGGCGTTAGTTTATGGGTTCTGTTAATTGTGTTCTTTACCAAAACACTTTTATATTAGTGTGCTTAATAATACAGCTCATTATATTAAGTTATTAATGAATGTACCAATTTATAATCGTTTGACTAGTTTGATATTATATTAAATACATAACTTCTTTCTATAAGTTCACTGGTACATTTTAGCATAAGTAATGCTATGAGCAACTCAGCCCTAACATTAAACAACAGAGGGATAGCTAAGTCCTCTCATAGAAATGAACAACAATCTTTGCTTTATTAGCTCCTTTCATAATTGGATGAGCCCTTTTGTCTTTTACTAATGTATTGACTGGCATAATGAACAATGAAAGCCCCAAAGCACATTTCCCATAGACACAGAGGATCTCACACCCACAGACCAGGGTTAATCAAGACACTGGATTCAGATCCCGGTATTCTGCACTTCTGTTCAGTCATATTCTTCTTGACTTATTTATTGATTCACTAATAATATAACCAATATCCATGAATTAAGGGAGGAAAGATGCTTGAAGATACAAACACATCTTGACAGTGCACATTCCACAGAGCTACACCCTGCACTTTCTGCTATGAGCCTCAACATGGTAAATCTGAATGAATCCCGTTCTGTGCACCCTATCAATTGCTGCTATTCATGGAGCTATATCTGGGCTTCTTTCATTTACTATCTATAATTTAAAGGTGGCACCATGAACTACCACCTGATGAGCAGATTCACTGTTCCATTCTATTTTCCCCTCATTGAGGGAACAAGGGATGCAATACAATGGAGAAGTATGTGGGTTCACTATGATCCAAATCACATTAAAATATTCAGGAAATGGTAGAACTGCTTTCATCCTTTTATCCTGGAGAATTTGGCTGTGCTGAAGTGGATTCATCCTGATTAGTAACTCACAAAACATTCCCATCACTGTCGAGCTCATGACCACTTTGAAGCCATTTCTTGGGAAGCATTCTGTGGACATGATGGCACCCCTCTCCCAGCAAGCATAAGTGCTTGGATTCCCACTTACATTGTGTCTTCCCTCCTTTTGCAGAGGTAAACAGGCAAGGTCTTCCCAGAAGGTAATCATGAAGCCATAGCACCCGCACTCATTCTGAGGAGTACAAGGCAAACATTCAAATGAATTAGTGTTGTTTAGCTTCTGAGGAGAAACACAGTTGGGGCTGATCAATTAGCCATCAACGATGGTGTGCGTTCCGGTCAGAACACTTGGGAAGGCAGCCGTCCTTTATATTTATTACCTTATGGGATTTAGAAGCGAGAACAGCACTTTATATTTATGAACCCTCATAAGTTCTTATTTTAAATAATGTAATAAACACCACTGAACCCAGCAGTATTAAGAAAGAAGAAAAATAATTCTAATTATTAGGAACATCTGGTGTGTTTGTCACCAACATACATAAGAGCAAAGTTGTCCTTTCAGTTGGACGTTGTGAAAAACTGGAGAGGAGAGATTTGCCATATGGTATAACCTCTGTGATGGTCCAAGCTTAATTTTCCTGGGTAAGTGTGCACTCATGTATGCAGATGCACAGGCATGCGGGCTAGTGTTTGCGTTCGTGTGTGTATGTGTGTGTGTGTGTGAGTGTGTGTCTTTGTCTTTGTGTGTGTGTGTGTGTGTGTGTGTGTGTATGTGTGTCATAGTGTGTGTGTGTGTGTGTGTGTGTGTGTGTGTGTGTGTGTGTGTGTGTGTGTGTGTGTAAGATCAGAGGACAACTTTTGGTGCTGGTCCTCAGAAGCTAACCATCTTGCTTTATGAGGTTAGGTCTCTCACTGGTCTGGAGCTGGTCAGCCAGCAAGCCTCTGCCTCCCCGGCACTGGGGTCACCAGTACACACCATCACGTATCTACTGCTGCCTCCCCAGCACTGGGAATGTCCATACACACCATCTCACTCAACCTTTTTTAATTTACATGAGCTCTGGGAATGGAAATCAGGTCCTCATGATTTCAAGGTGAACCCCTGACTGACTGAGCTACCTCGCCAGCCCCGCTTTACTTCACTCATTAACTGATGTGTTTACTTTCTCACAGGATAATTTTTCTAGCAGAATTTTAACGCATACAGCCATCAAATCAACTCTGGAGCACTAACAAGGCAAATTCCTCAATACACTACTGGAAAGGGACACAAGATCTCTGCCTTCCTGTGGGTTTCAGAAGTGGATGGTGTAAAGATCTCAATGGCGTAAAGTTTTCCACTGGAATATAATTACAGAATTAAAAAAAAAAAACTGGTTGAGATACAAATTTAGGAATGTTTATCTTCTTAATTACAATATGTTAGATGTGCGTCCAGCCATACTGGGACCACTGTCCCCTGAGTGGTCTATGTGTTTTTCCTATGTCACTGCTCAAGAGAAGCAAACTTACTTGACTTAGTGTGTGTTTATTTCAATCAAAATAACTAGATTTTATCAATAGTGGTCTGTGTGATGTCTCACTGTTGCTCCACGTGTACCTGTACTCCCTTTAGTCAGTTATAAAAATGTAGCTTCTTTTCCTTCACACAGGGCAACACAGCTCAACTTGCCTCCTCTTTCAATAATCAAATCTCATGACCTCTAAGACTGCTAGGCACCTAAACCGAGATTCTCAAGATAAATAACAACCCACACTGCATCAAATGCTTTAAAAAGTACATGTATACCATTGGTTTCTCTTGATTTTTTGTTTTAATTAATTTGTTCATTTAGAGAGAGAAGGAAAGAGTGAGTGAGTGTGTGTGTGTGTGTGTGTGTGTGTGTGTGTGTGTGTGTGTGTGTGTAGGAGTGTGTGTGTGTGTGTGTGTGTGTGTGTAGGGGGCATATATGTAGAGGTCAGAGGACAACTTGTAGGAGACTGTTCTTCTCCATATGCATTTCAGGGATGGAATTCAATCATTGGGCGTGGTCGCAAATGCCTTTACATTGTAGAGCCACCCCAATCGCCCTATTTTGCTTGTTTATTTTGTTTCCTTGCTTTATTTTGTGTTTGTTTGTTTTGTTTTGTTCAGAAGAATGTAACCTTGCCTGGCCTTAAGCTCCTGCCCCAGCCTCAAATCCCTAAGTGTCAGAATGGCAGGCATGTGCCATCTTGCCCAGTTTTAGCTTTCTTATTTTTCATTCATTGATATAGTCTTTATTCATGGCTAGTTTTATTACAGGAATGTGGGTTGTGCCACGAATCCACAAAGATCGGGCTTTGGGGACTCGTCTCTACAGGCTGCAGACACCACTTGGCAATAGTCCTCAGATTTCATAAGGGTTTAATCACTGTCCTCGTTCAGAAACCCCATGCTCTTCATCATTGGCCCATGCTGGGTGTTTGCTTCATTTATTAATTGACTGATTCATAATTAACAAAACAGAGTCCCCAAAACAAGATCTTTGGGATGGGGCTCTTTTCTCATTGAGATATTTAGATCATACTCCATCAATAGGGTGGTCTATTCAGATCAAATCCATATGTACTTTTTGTGTGGTCCTCATTTATTTAATTCATACATATGTCAAAGATGGCATCATGAAACATAATGAAGCTAATATACTCCACTTCTGAAACACTGGTAGGCTCACATCTCAGGCCATCCAAGGAACTACTGTAGAGTATCCTGAGCTCAACCACAACACCACAAGTAACACTAAAGGTCTTGTGAGGAAGGTGAATATCCTCTCCTTTGAAAGTCATTTCTGTTGCAACAATTTGGATTAAAAATTATTTTTTGAATCACACTGCATTCCCATGAGTGGTCCATACTTGGGGAGTGTTACCTGCTTTAGATATGTGAGTATTACTCATTTGTAAATCGATCAGCTAGCATCTATAAACAAAAGACTCCGAACACAGACCATGAACTAAGGGTCTTACCTTTATTCTCAACTAGGCTCCTTACTCAGGACAATGATTCCATATTAAATAATTAAATCAGGGGTCCTACATTCACCACAGGAGGGAAAGGAAGAATTAGAATAGCCTTAGAATTTAACAGGTCAAGCAGAACTACATAATAATAAACTTTAGATTTAATATCAAACTTGGGATTTTAAATATGGTAAACATGTAAGTCCACTATCTTGCCTGAGAATAAATTCTACAACAATTAGAAACATTTATAATCAGGGGGGTATTGAACAAATTGTTAGCTGATGTACTTTCCCTTTTCTTAATGAACAGTACCCACCCAAGCAACTCTCTTAACTACAGCTACTAACATGCTCAATATGAAAGAGGGTTACAGATCCCTCCTGATTTGTTTCCAATTAACAAGTGCTCTTGCTTTTTAGCAAGCAATAGCATTAATTATCCTTGGCTTACTAAATTACTTGTTGGACAAATAGGTGTGCCTTTCCTATGTACCATGTCTTTTATTATGTATCTACTTCTTACTTATATAGCAATTCTCTTCAAATAACATGCTTCATATCATTGAATAACAAAATCCAGAGGGGCAAGTTGACAGAATTTTTCCAACTTCTGCTCACAGACAATTTCAACACAAAACCTTGTCTATCTCTCACGTAGTAATGGACCTCAGAGTTACCCTCAGGCTTTCACCGAGCTGCTGCTTCACATGCCTCTACCAGCAGGCATCATAGATGCAGGCATGGCATCCTACTCTCCAGTAACACTTTCTTGAGTTAATGTGATCGTTCATGGATTTCTGAGTAACCAGTAGTTTTTTTTTTTTTGTTGTTGTTGTTGTTTGTTTTGTTTTTGTAGAGAAAATAGCCTATATTGTTTATCTCTGAGAGCATCTAGTTGGAACATGTGGATTAACCAGCAGACTGGTTTCTTTTCAAGCCCTATCTCATGATGGGCGTCTGTCTCTCAAAGCTGGTGGAAACCTACATAATGGCACACACATGACGGGACTGACATCTGCTATCCTCTACTGTACTTCTGCCATGAGGAGTTCACAGTAAACTGTTTGCTAGGGAACGGCTCTATGAAGCAACCATAGCCTTATAGGGCAGTAAAATGTGTGGAATGTCTACCATCTCTTTAGGAATGGTCCTTAGTTGAGTTGAATTGAATTAGGCATAATTTTGTTGTTGTTGTTCATGATATATTTCAATTGCAAGCCCATGATTGGCACTCCTCAATTTCAGATCTTATTTAAAAATTTAATGTACTGGGATTGTTTGCTTACCTGGGGCTTCATGCTCTGAGTTTGGATGCACAGAGGTGGTCATCATGACTAGAACATGATAAAATCTCTGACCCAGTGGGGAGAAAAAGTTTGGGTCACAGTTCTCACGTGATAATACTTATTCCTAATTAGCACCATGCTGACATTAAAAAGGTAAATTGAGCTGGGCGGTGGTGGCGCACGCCTTTAATCCCAGCACTCGGGAGGCAGAGCCAGGCGGATCTCTGTGAGTTCGAGGCCAGCCTGGGCTACCAAGTGAGTCCCAGGAAAGGCGCAAAGCTACACAGAGAAACCCGGTCTCGAAAAACCAAAAAAAAAAGGTAAATTGAGGCCTAAAATCATCCCATCGTTTTGAGGACATAAAAATCTGCAAAATAACAGCCCTGGCCTATAAAAAATATATGTTGATCTGCCTATAGCCACTGCCCTCAGTAATGGTAGCCTTGGTTCTTTCTCCGTTTTGGCAGCCTGGAATTATAAGCCAAATAGACCCTTTCCTTCAAAAAAAAAAGAAAGAAAGAAAGAAAATCAATAAAAATGACGGTTTTGTTTTAACATTCTTATCATTGGTCTCTGATCATCTGGCAATTATGTGGACATTTAACAATTTTTTACACTGATGAACTAATCTGAAAAATAAAATAATAAGGGGAAAAAGGTGTGGGAAAGAAACAACTGGCTGGCAACCAACATCACCCAATCCTTCCTAGGGACTTCTTATTATGCCCCTCACCCAGAAGTGGACTTTAGCACTTCCAAATTGAATTAATCCTATTTCTCTTTCTCATTTCATCACATACTCCTGTAATTGATCCATCCATGGCTCTCCTTTACTTTTTTCATTCACTTACATTTTTTATTCCTTTACTCATATATTGATTTACTTATAAAAATATAAATTGAACTAAAGGATCTTTGGGGGGGATGTTAAGAGATTGGGTTTCTCTGTGTAGCTCTGACTGTCCTAGAACTTACTTTGTAGACCAGGCTGGACTCGAACTCACAGAGATTCACCTGCCTCTGCCTCCCATTGTGCTGGGATTAAAGGCATGAGCCACTACCATCCGGCTTGAACTAAAGAATCTTAATAGATGCAAAAAAAATCTGATTCTTCTTACATTCTTTTCCCATAAAAATAGTAGTTGTTTTATCTTCCCAATGGTCCTTGGGACTTTGGAGTTTAATAAAATTCCTCCTGACATGCTTCAAGATCACTGGCCTAGGTTTGAACACTTTTTTCATTCATTTAGACAATCATTTGCTCGCTCACAAACAACAACAAAATCAACAGATAATAAGTCCCAGCGATAACAAGCACGATATTGTTAACATAAAAACCTATGGCTTCCTCTTTCCACAGTGAATGTCAAAGTCACAGGGATGGTTAACCTTCATGAACCTTAGCAATCCTGTGCTCATTAGCTCAACACTGGTTCCTATTTCCTGAACGTTCTGCTATTTTAACTACAGTCCAATAAACAAGTGTGAATTCAGCATTCACCATCTCATTAATGATGGAGAACAATGCCATCGGTTTCTTATTTCAGTGTTCCTGTGTGAAGGGCTATCAATCAGATTTAATAAATTTACGTTGGAATTGACTGGTTCAAATGTATTCACAATAGTACATAAATTTTGCAATCTCATAAGGAGGCCACAAACAGATGTCTTTTGTCCTTGTTCATTTGAACATTTATGCATTTAAATATTTGCCTAGTTGTACTATAATTTACTTACAGTGAAACAACAAAGTCTTATGAAACTAAATAGCTAAAGAACAAATTTAAAATTTTCCAAACTTCTAATAACATTTACTAAATAAGTGTCTATTCTTTATACATATTTGTTTGGTGTGTGTGTATGTGTGTGTTTGTCCTTGTCTGTGTATATGTGTGTCTATGTGTCTGTGCATGTGTGTCTTTGTCTATGTGTGTCATGTGTGTCCTTGTGTTTGTGTGTGTGTGTTTATATGTAAGTTTGTGTGTGTGTCTTTGTCTGTGGTTGTGTCTTTGTCTGTGTGTGTCTTTGTGTGTGTTTGTCTTTGTGTATGTGCCTTTCTCTATGTATTTGTGTGTGTCTTTTTGTGTGTATGTGTCTTTGTGTGTGTGTGTGTCTGTGTGGGCCTTTGTCTGAGTGTGTGTCTTTGTGTGTGTGTCTTTGTCTATGTGTGTGTGTGTCTTTGTGGTTGTGTCTTTCTCTATGTGTTTGTGTGTCTTTGACTGTGTATGTGTCTTTGTCTGTGTGTCTTTGTTTGTGTGTGTGACTGTATGTGTCTTTGTGTGTCTGTGTGTATGTCTTTCTCTGTGTGTGTTTGTCCTTGTCTGTTGTATGTGTGTGTCTATGTGTCTGTGCATGTGTGTCTTTGTCTATGTGTGTGTCTCTTTGTCATGTGTGTCCTTGTTTGTGTGTGTGTGTCTTTGTGTGTATGTTTGTGTGTGTCTTTGTCTGTGGTTGTGTCTCTGTGTGTGTGTCTTTGTGCGTGTGTCTTTGTGTGTGTCTCTGTATGTGTATCTTTGAGTGTGTGAGTCTTTGTGTGTGTGTCTGTGTCTGTGTGTGTCTTTATCTGTAGGTGTGTCTTTGTGTCTTTTTGTGTTTGTGTGTCTTTGTCTGTGGTTGTCTTTGTCTGTGTGTGTGTCCTTGTCTATGTGTTTGTGTGTCTTTATGTGTGTGTCTTTTCTGTATGTGTGTATGTGTCTTTGTCATGTGTCTTTGTGTGTATGTCTTTGTGTGTGTGTGTGTGTGTGTGTGTGTGTGTGTGTGTGTGTGTGTGTGTGTGTATCTTAGTCCGTGTGTGTATGCACATGCCATAGCACACATGGGGAGATTGGAAGACAACCTCGGGAACAGTTCTCTCCTTCCACCATGTGGGTCCAGGGGATTGAACTCAGGTGCCCGGGCTTGGCAACAAGAGCCTTAACCCACTGAACCATCTCAACAGCCTCTCATGAAGTCTCTTATGATCGACCTCAGAGTTTCAGGGTTAATCAAAATCGTTGATTCAGACACCCCAGAATTCTCATCATCGGTCAGCGCTTGGTTGTCCTTATTTAGTTAGTCATTTAGTAGTCATTGCTACTAATGACATCAATGAACATGAAATGTGAGGCTGAAAAGAAGCTCCTGACATTGTGCTGAGACACACCTGATAGCTTGATTTCTGTAGGACTCAGACACTCTTAGGGCAGTTATGAAGACATGTGATAACTCAGCTCCCTTACTTCATGTCAAACGCACTTGTGAACTTTCCTTGCTCTTCTTTATTAAATTTGTCTGAATTTTAAGGACAGTTAATGTAGCCAAGATGGTGGCCAGTAGAGTCCACACCTTGTGGCACACAGTCTTGTGTTACTGTTCACATCTTGGATCATGGCTGTCTATGTGACCAGTAGAACACTATGGAAGTGGTGGTTTGTGCCTTAAGGAGATAAGTTATATGATACAGTAAGGATGTACCTAATTCTGTCCTGTACTGATTGCTCTTGGGAAATTAGCTGTCATGTTCTAAGGACGCCAATAGAGAAAATCTTCATGTAGAGAGAAAGCGTGGTCCCCATCAGCAGCCAGCCATGGACATAAGTCCTGCAAGCAGATCACACACACACACACACACACACACACACACACACACACACACACACTCAGCCAAGCAACTACTTTGTCTGACACCTCACTATAAATTGGTAAGACTCCACACAGAAAGCCTGACCTCATGGAAACTGTGAGAAATAATAGGTTTCATGCTTTGAGCCATGAAGTCACTGGGTGAGGTACTCCACAGCTAGAGATCTCAATGGCAATGACAGAGCATGCTGTTTCTGACTTGCTTGATACCATAAGTGTTTCAACTTTGGAATATTTCAACTTTTTTTGTTTTCTTCAACTTTTGGAATATGTCCACACACACAATGAAATATCTTAAAAATATTACCCCAAAATAAATAAAGTTCATTTGTCCCCTAGTCAACTTATACATGTGACCAGAGGAAGTTTTTACAATATTTCAGTGCACCTGCATTTTGACTGTAACCATGATGAGGACAAATGTGGAATCTTCCACATGTACCAAAAGTCAATACTCAGAAAGTTTCAGAAATAAAAAGACTCTCTGATGTTTCACATTAGGGGAGGTAAACCTATACAACCATGAACCGTGCTCCAGTCATGGCGAGGACATTAGCATAGCCTTCTTCCCTCATTCGGCACACTCCCACCTCAATGAATTATTGGCCCAGACATTTATCATTGATTGAATGGGTAATGACACAAAACAAATCTTAAGATTGAAACATTCTGAGAATTAATAAAAGACCTCCAGGATTAACAGACTTAGGTTGTGCTGAATCATATTTACCACAAACTCTGGTCAATTCTCTCTGCTGGTCCTATAAGCATTCTTTTATTTTATTCATAGAAAAGCAGCTCTGTTCACATGATGTAATTCAGAAATAACCCTGTTACCTATAGAATAAAGATGATGAATCAGTCAGCTAATGTGTGAGGAGGGGGCCTTTTGGATCAATGTTTCAGGGTAGACCCTTGGCAATGCACTATGAGGTCCCCTGAAAAGGACAAATGAGGTTAAGGTGTCCGTGGGTAGCAGCACACAGACATTCTTAATGGTTGCATTTATTTCTCTTGTGTTGGGTGGTGAATTTTAGTTTCTGTTGTATTAAAAATTAAATAGTACATAAGTCAGTACATAAGAAGTAGAGTTATTTGGGAGTCAATAATGAGAATGTAATAGGAACCAAGTTTGGATTAGTCACCCAATCCCTTATGAATCCGTCTATTAAAAGATTTAAGCCTGTGGGTTCCATTCTTTGTAGAGTGTGTGTTGCACTTCACAGAGCAAAAACCCTTTCCATTCTTCATAGAGTGTGTTGTACTTCACAGAGTGAGAATACTACAGTTGATGTAATTGTTCAGTAAAGTCGGAGATGCTGGTTCCCACCTGCGTGGTTAAGGGGCTTAGGGACTATTGTACTTCTAAATTTCATATCCTTGGCATAGGCAGTTTATTGTTAACTTATGTCAAAGGCATAAATGGCCAACATATAAATAAAATAAGAGAATGTACTATAGTGCCAACCACAGAAATGAACAAAAATTTGCAGTTAATACAATTCAATCCAACTTAGGTCAGTTAAAGATGGAGGGCTCTTATTAATCATTAATGAGTCTAAATTAATCAGATCTCTGGGCTGGCAAGATGAATAGTGGGTAGAGGCACTTACTGAGAAAGCCACAAGACCTGAATTCTATTACCACATACCACCATGAAAGGGAACCAACTTCCAAATAGCTATCCTCAGACCTCCAAACCTGCACCGTGGCATATACACACCCACCCCAAAACAATAATAAAACTAAAAATTTTAATTCATAGTTTTGTTTCACAAAACTTGCTCGTAACTGCGCCCAGGTCTACATCCTTCAAGTAATCAACTGAGGTGTGAGCTCATTCCTTCATTCATTTGAGACACTGGATCAAAGCATGAGCTGTATCCATAGACACGGTGATCACAGATACAATGGACAAGGTCCTTTGTAAGAGATTAGCTTTTGGTGGACAGAATTAGATCAGTAATTACCATGTGCACAGAACTGTTCCACGTTTAGCCTTCTCTCAGTTAGACAATTATTCAAACAATCATTTTCATACTCATAATTTATTTCTTGTCTAAATAAAACCAATGGCCAGCTCTCCAACAAAATCCAAATATCAATACCATGGTTCATGACTCAGGACGTGTCCTTCAGGGAAATATTCAAAAAGACTTAATCTATGTGTATTTCTGAGGCTCGTTGTATCAGAAAGTTACAACAATAAATAATATTTGTTTCTTTTCTTTTGTTTTCTTTTTTTTTTTTTTTGCAAAATTGGCCATCTTTATTCATTCTTGTACCCACCCCATTATAATACAATTCACAGAAGGGAGGAGTGAATGCCAAGGTCATTGACTGTGGCCAACTAGTGCAAGAGGTACACCTCACTGCAAAAATGAGGGAGATTTTCTTTTTCGGACATTTCTTTGAGTTGTAATTTAGTCAGAACTCTTTGATTCACACATCTCATAAAGTTCACTGTTCTATATATCTATTGATATTTTTTCTCCCTGTCCTCATGGCTTTATTCATGGATGTGCTCATATATATATGTGTGTGTGTGTGTGTGTGTGTGTGTGTGTGTGTGTGTGTGTGTGTATGTATATGTGTGTGTGTGTATATATATATATATATATACATATATGCTAAATTAATAAATCAAAAGTTCCAAGAGCAGCATCACTGAATAATATATCGCACTGTCAAGTATCCATTCCACACATAATTAATATATCTGGTTGATTTTTCCTAATATGTGTATACTTTTTCCACATTTCAGCCAATGAGTGTTCTTATTTCCTTTAATCTCTGTATTTAACATGGGTCAACCATGTCTGCCCACTTTTGGTCTTAAAGATGGTATCATGAATAAAGATGGTATCATGAATACACAATTAGAATAAACAGATAATTTTGTTCATTGTCTAGTACCCTCTCTCCTCAAAATATTAATAGCCTAAGTGTTATCAGTAAAAAAGTACGTAAATGAATCATAGCAAAAAAGAAAAAAAATAGAATATTAAGCAACCCTGAAAATGAATGAAATGCCACTCATCTGCTTTTATTGGATTTTACTGGTGCTAAATCATATTAATTAAAAAACCCCAGCCTGAGCACATTCCCATCAATGCATACCACTGGCCTTTGTTGGTTTTACTTATGAATTATATCCATTTATTACTTTGGAAAAATGCAAGCAACACCCATAAGCCAACCTCCGAACCCAAGAACATAAAATTCAAGCTATTACTCACATAAATCTCTTCTTTCCTTACCCACAGAGGTAAAAACCTAGACCTTTGGCATTCCAGGATGATTCAGTTAGAGGGGGCATATCCACTTGGTGAAATCAAGCACAAACTTTCAAAAGAAAGAAAAATCCTACAGTTAGATGTACTTGTCTCACAAACAATGGGGTTCAGGACAGTTTCATATGTGTATATCAAATATTCAAACAATAGTTCTGTCCCTATGACCTACACTCATCCCCACCACCCCCTACTGTTGGTCCCTTCCTAGACCCTTCTATTTTTTTTTCTTTAGATTCCAGGGCCAGCATTATAGACAACATTCTCTCTGTTGACCTAAACTTGCTCCGAGTCCACTGCATACTTAGAAAATTGTTTATGTATTTATGCTTTCTCCTTAGTACAACCAACATCTAGCTACCTCCTACCACTCCCAGAAATGTACACAGGGACACCTTGACGCACCTATGAATGTGTGTCTGTGTGGCTAAGAGTCCTACATGCCCCAGAGGTGCAGCAGTTTTTATTAGGATAGCATAAGGGAACCAGCATTAAAAATTGCTAACAGCTGCAGCTTCACATTGTGATTTCCTAACTGACCCATAGGTGACAATCTATATTTTCCTCACAAATTCCCACTATCCTGACTCCGAAGCCACTGGGACCCAAGAGCCAGATGTCACACTGGCCTGCATTTCTGTCAGGAACTCTACCCCCAGTGCAGACCTGCCAACTATGTGTGTTTCTAAAAGACTTCAGTTTACTGTTGAATCAAAACCATTGATGCGTAGACCCCAGAACTACTCATTACTGATCCACACTCAATGCATTTTCCTCATTTATTTATCTGCGCATTACTGATTGTTTCTGCATAATTTCTTGATTTTTTTCATTCGGAGTTTCTCTGATTAAAAATCTTAGTGCCCATGAATCATAGAAATTAAAAGAACAAAATCTTTTACTGACATAGCAAGCGATTTCCAGGCTCAGGTTCACAGAGCAGGTAACTAAGATAAAGGCCTGAACATGTAGATTAATCAATGACGTTGCTTCCTGCCACTCTGCTGTTCAAGATTCATTCAACTGATTCCTAAAGACAGTGGGCCAATGAGTGTACCTCAGACTCCATGGCTAGAGGCCCACAGACAACACTCAGGATCTTACTAGGGTCTTCCTGCACAATATTTAAAAACTTCTATCAGATCCTCTACTGATAGGTACACTTCCTGCACACATAACACAACAACAGAACAGAATTTTAGGACTGTGTGGATGAAAGCCTTATCTTTAAAGAACCGGGCTGTGCTAAACATCGCTAAATCTCAGGCCCCACTAACAGCTGATGCCTGGCAGGTTTGTTCATTTTTATTTTGTTTTGCTTTTATAATTGAAAGATAAATTTGTGCACATTAAGTGTGCACATGATGTTTTCAAGGACTTAAACACCACAGAATGACTAATTCTAGCTAGCTAATGTCTTCATTACCTGATTGTCACATCTGTGCTAAAAACACTTCACATCCCTGCAATCATGTCATCCTTTTTGGTGTTGTTCCCTTTGGTTTTTTTTTTTTTATTTATTTTTTATTTTTTTGTTTTGTTTTTTGTTTTCTTTTTCTCTTTCTTTCTTTCTTTTTTGCTTTATTTTGTCTCCTGGAGCTATTTGGTTTGGGATTGGGACCTTTTTTTAAAATAGAAGATCTCATTATGTAGCCCAGGATGGCACCAAACTCAAAGCAATGCTCCTGCCTCAGTCTCCCAGGTGTTAGAATGATAAGCGTAAGCCATCATGCCTGGCTAACCTTTTATTTCCTGTCTGTTGGCAGTTGTCATTCATCCTTTGGATGTGAGCCCATGGATGGCACAATCACTCGACACACCAAGAACCCCAACACCACTTACATGAGTCCCTTGATTCCTGGCCCACAGTGTCTCAGGGTCAGACAGGCACCATCAGCGGTACATCATGGAATCTGCAGAATTAAAACCTCTAGTAAGTTGCAATAATCTTTATCTAAACTGTGACAAATGTTTTTGAAGCAATTAGAAGTCTGGTATAAATTTTGGAGAATTTGAATTTTAAAAAATACAGGTTTTAGGAAATTGAGGGAACAATACAGCCTTGGGCCCTCTTCCTGATACCTTAGTCTCTGTATATCAAATCTAGCAAAATCACAGCTTTTACATATGCCCATGATTGGCCAAGAATGACTCTTATCTTATTTATTGGCCTCTTCAATTAGTAATTTATGTGATATAATTTATAACTCCCTTATACTGAGATGCTAGCCTATAATGTATATATGTGTATGTATGCTTGTATGTATTATATATAATGTATAAAATATGTATGTGTGTGTTTATGGGTATAATATAATATGAAGAAAGGAGAACAAGACTGAATAATAAGAAAGATAAAGCATACTAATGAGTTCCTATAAGTCCTTTGAATACTCTCTCAATAGCTAACACAGGTTCAATTCAAAGTCAGTCCTGAAAGGGGCAGTGTCCACATATGATTCCATGAGGGGCTGTTACCTTCCAGGGAGATCTGAATTGCAAATTATATCACATTCTTTGGATATTAGTGTAGACTGTAGCTCTTTGTAACTACAAGTAAATTTCGGGTGTTTTCTGCTTTTAACATGCATTTTAGATGTATGTTTAAAATAATCATAATGTTGAAATTGCTGAGAATTCTGATTCATTGCCCCTGAATCTCAAAGAATAACATGCCAGGAAATTGAAAACAAAGAAAACTGCTTTTTCCGCTCTGTGTCACAATTCTAAAAATGTATCATTGTGACTGAGTAAATATTGTAACAAATAAATAAATAAACCTGATCAATCTACACACTTATTCAAGAATTCATAGCTACATTGAGAATTTTAGATGCGCATCACATTTCAGTTAAAACACTGATCACCCAGTGTGACTATGGCCACCCTACTGGAAAGTGCATGCCTATAGAATAACACCCCCAAAATATGAAATTTTTATTTATTGATGACTGATTTTTTTATATGATGAATCAATATCTTTCTCTCCCCCTTCCTTTCCCCCTCCTCTTCTCTTCTCTTCTCTCTCTCTCTCTCTCTCTCACTCTCACTCTCCAGGATCTCACTATATGTCCAGGCAGGCTAGCCTTGAACATACATTCCAACTGCCTCAGTTGGTATCACCACACTGGGACCACTACACTGGTGTCACTACACTGAGACCACCACACTGAGATCACCACACTGGGATCACTACGCTGGGATCAACACACTGGGATCATCACACTGGGATCACCACACTGGGATCACTACACTGGGATCACCACACTGGGATCACCATACTGGGACCACTACACTGGTGTTACTGCACTAACATTCTTTTTCTTTATATTGTTTTTAGAAAATGTCTTTCTTTATAGCCCATGATAGCTTCAAACTTGTGGACAATCCCCTGCCTTAGCTTCAAAGGTGCTAGGATTATAGGCATGAGCTGCTGTGCCTGGCTTTCAAACATCTTCCTGATAATACAGGGATTCCATATTCATCCCTAGCCCATCTTTATCTGCCTTTCCCTTAATTTGTCGAGAATTCAAAGTTGATACAATAAGGTATTATGGACTTGATCAATGGATTAAATCAAAAGTGGTATAAAAGTAATGTGAACTATTGAAATGTTAATGACAAAAAATGTGGTCTTACTATGTGTTAATGGGGTTGTTTTGAAGTGGATTGAGATCTTTCATCTTTGGATTACACTTCTGTTGATCTGAACTAATCAAAAATCATCATATTATCATCTTTGTGCCACAGGTAGACTCCAGCATAAATGTGTGGAGCTGGGAATGAAACACAGGACCTGAACTTATGATACAAAAGTATTCTCAGATGGAGCTACATTCTGAGCACTTTAGGATTCACTAATCATTAGTTGAAGCCATTTGATAATATAAGAATACACTCAAAACAACCACTTAACATGCCACTATTAAATTTGACAATACCTTTTTGGTTCTTGCCCATTAAGATATATAAATCTTCAATGTTAGAGACAGGCTCACATAGACTATAGGGTATGAAATCAAGGAAATGTTGAAAAGTTAATAAAAGAAATAAATACATGAATCAGTCATTTTTACCAGTGAAATGAAGCTGTACAGAACTATATTAATTATAATACTTCTTTGTAGCACATTCAATTATTAGCCTACAATTAATATTCATTTATTTAAATTATATATTCATGCATTCATTTTTAGCATTCTTAAAACTCCCAAGAGCTGAACACCTAATACAACTAATGGAAAAACCATTAGCCATGTAAGGTTACTTAAATCTAAATTAATAAAAAATTAACCAAGAAGGAAACCTTTACACTTCATATTCACATTTCAAGTGTTCTAGATTGTTGTGAGGCTAAAGATCACCACATCAGATGGAAGCCATCACAAGACAGTCTCTTCACTGCGCAAAGATCCATGGGGAACAATGAGGATCTGCTATTTTTCCCTAAAACAGTCTGGACCTTTTCCTAATGAGCTTAACTGGACAGCTCCAGAGCATGAGTCACAACACCATCATCTCCAGCTCACACTGAGTCTCTTTCATTTGATTTGATCATTCCTGTCTTTTAAAAGATATATTTTGTCTCGATTATCTATTGTGTGTGTATCTGTGTGTATGTGAATGTGATGTGTGTGCAGGTTCATTTGGAGGCCAGAAAAGGGGTTTTGGTCCCCTGGAACTACAGTTACAAGTGATTGTGAGCTGCCTGACATGGGTGCTGCGATCTGAACAGGAAACTCTCCTAACCACTGAGCTACCTCTCCAGCCCTGAGACTTGTTCATTCTAAGAAATGCGAGCAGCGAGTAAGCTCCGTCAGTGCAAGCCCCATCCCCGACTACTTACATGGCAACGTCTTTCACCTCCTTCTTTTCACTCCTAGCTCAAAGAACAAGCAGCCTGGAACTTTATTTATGGTAAAACATCTAAACAAATCATGTAATGTACACAATAAAACCCCAAACAGCTGGTTAGAGAAGGGAACACGTAGGCTGTTGCAATGGTGGTTAGGAGCACATTACTGAATTAAAACCCTTTTGTACTTGGACCATTCTCATCACCAATCCACGTTCTGGGCTTTCATTTCTATTATGCATTTATGTAATTATTTACTTTTGGTACTAAAATTAACATCCAACACGTCATCCTGTTTGCGTGGTTATAAGCATATTGGCTAATTCCTTAATCAACATATTTTCAAGGACCTTTGATGTACATAATTTGAATCATAAATTCCAGGGTAGTAAGTGTTTTATCTTTCTTTGATTTGGTCTTGAGGTCTCTGTCAAGAGAGAATCTATGAAGTCTAGCCCTGCCAGGATGGGATTTACAGTGTGCCTTATTCTAGTCCTCTCTTAGTTTAAGTGATGATTTATTTCTCAATTATTTGATTACTTATCTATGAATTCTCTTGAACAACTCTCTAACTAAAGATTTTAAAACATGAAGACAGGGCCTGTAGAGGTGGCTCAGAGTAAAGAGCATTTGTTCCTCTTGCAAAGGACCTGGATTCAGTTTCCAGCACTCATATGGTGGTTCACAAACATCAGTAGCTCCATTTTGGGGATCAGACACTCTCTACTGACTTCCATGGGCACCATGCATGCATGTGGTATAAAAACATAGCAGCAGGCAAAACACCCATGCATGTAAAATAAATTTTAAAACTGTTTGAAAACATGAAGACATCAACTCTCACTTGCATTTTACGTACCTTTTGTCTCCAAATAAAAGTAAAAGTTTCTCACAAATACTACATTATTAAATAAACTACAATGTACCCATTCTATGTAATGGAAAACAGTTTTTGGAAACATACAGCTCAGGTCAATTTTCAGATAAACACTTGGTGGAATTAATTAATAAGCTCAATAGTTATACACTATTAGCCTCATTGGCCTGTGGTTGGACCACTCCAGCTTTTCTTTTCACATTTTAAAAGGATCATTAAATAACATATGTGAATCTTACCTAACAACTAAAAACTATCAATTGCATCCTTCCAAATGCAGAGTGCCATAATAGCTGAACTAGACATTTCATAAATAGGCACATGTCTAGACACAGTACACAAGTGAACAGTTGACAGAGCTGAGGCAATTTTTCTCTGATGCCTCTCAAACTGGGGGAATTGTGTGATTATAATCTCAGGTCATGGTGTCTTATGTGCATTATTCCATTTGTTTTGTGTTAGAAGTGCATCCATTTTTTAAAATAGATCCATAACCATACATGAACGTGTAACACATAACATATGAAATGCATATGGCATGTGTGTGTACCTATGCATATTCACCCTTCCTGTGTAATATATGTGCTCATTTTGTGCATGTGCACATGTATGTGGATGCAGGTTGAGGTCAGAGAACAAATGAGTATAATTCCTCAGGCACTATGCATGTTGTTTTGTGTGGCACAGGGTCTCTCACTGGCCTAGAACCCCCCAAATAGGCTAAGCTGGTTAGCCAGAGAACCTCAGAACTCTCCCTGTGTCGGCCTCCCCAGGACTGAGATTATAAGCATGCCACCATGCCCAGTTTTTTGTATGTGGGCACCAGGAGATTGAAGGCAGGCCCTCATGCTTGTAAGGCAAGCACATTAGCAATTAAGCTGTCATCCTAGCCTGAGATATTCCATTTTTCTTTGCTATTTTCTACATAGGGAACAGCCTACTATATAATTTCTAATTTGGTAATTATTATGCCTAATTGGATTAATTACCCTTGGTTCATGACTGTCTCATCACTGACTAGTGCTTTGGCCATCTTTGATTTTATTTACAAACTCAATCATGTTTAATAATGCAATCAACACCCATCAGCCAAACACCCAAGTTCAAATTAACAAAAGTAGCCATTACTCACATTGTTGGCCCATGGCTCATTGCCCACAGTGGTCACTGCCAAGGTCTCACCCAGCAGGCTAGTCTCCATTCACATTAGGGCCTCCATGCTGTTGAACACAAGGCAGATATTAAAAAGGATGAAGTGGCAAAGCTTTCTTCATGGCCATTAGTGAGTAGGACAGCTAATCTTAGTCTCAGATCATGATACTGGCCCAAGCAGGTATTCATTCATTCATTCATTCATTCATTCATTCATTCATTCATAGCTATTGTTCTAATGAAAATGTATGAATTCACCACCTTAAAAATCAAAAGCAAATCTTTTTGTAAACATTGATCCCTACACTTCCTGTCCACAAAGGAAACAACAGACCCTCTTCCAAACAGACCCAGGTACAGAGTTGGAAACACAGACATATTTGATTCCAGATACAATCTCATCATTATTGCCTATTCACTTTCCCCATGGTTTTCATACATTTTTAAGTACAATACACACAGGTAAACTGAGCACTAATCCAGAGCAGACACCTCAGTACACACAGAGGTGAACTACTACTTTTGAAAAAGCTACAATTATACAGGAATAGATAAGTTAACCTCTAGGTCAGAAAACCCTGTTGGCTCCCGTGGTCTTGCCATTACTTATTTCTCATTTCATTCCTTTTAAACTACAGATCAAGGACACTTGAAGTTACCAACCAGCCCAGGACCACTGGCAGGTCTGCATACCCAAGGGTCTTCTGACTGACGGGCCAACAGTCAATAGTTGGCTGGGTTTGGTCTCTTAATAACATCACCGAAACTCAGAGCAGAAAAGCGATTAGCAGAGGTCAGTGGGTGTGAAGAACAGGATTGGTCAGAGAGTACAATGTGTCTTTGTAAGAACATTAAGTTCTTAAGGGACAATGTATACAGTGGAAACTCTAGTTTACAAAAATGTATATTTAGAATTAACCCAGAATGTCCATCTTAGATATTCTCCACCCACACAAAAGCAATACAGTGTGTGGGGTATTGGACACAAAGCATCAAAGCTTCAGCACATACAATTTTTATTTGTCAGTTAAACGATCTTTACACAGGACAGAAAAAAAACACTCAGCATTGGTCTACATAGGATGCTCTTTAATTTTGTGCATAATTAATTGCATCATTTGTTTTGTACATAACTTTACAACATTCGTACTGCTTCCTGAAGGGAGACCTACCAGGCCTGCCTCCTGTCCAGAGTGACCATTTGGGGGCCACAGAATCTCATGAATGTCAGGTTAGCAGACCTGGGTCAGTCGTTATCTGAAGGACTCTCATAGCTGCTGGATCCAAGGCATGAGGATATTATTTCTTTTTGTTTTATAATTTTGAATAGTAAAATTAACAGCCCCCAAACAATTCTGAGCTCTTTTTATGTTACCCACTTGGGATGAGTTAACCCCAGTCCTTAGTTCACAGCCCACACTCATCCTCAGGCCTTATACATGTCTTATTTTACTTACTACTAGACCCACTTAGGACAAACCACACATAGCCCCACCCCCTTGCCCCCATTGTCCAGCTGGTTACACATTTTGACTAGTGCTTCTTCCCTCCTCCTTTTATACACATAACAGTTAAACACATGTGTGTTCTTACAATATGTTTTTTAAGAGCCTGTGATCTGCTGGAGAGACACAGCTTCACTTTAGGACACACCCACCCAGATCTGATGAGGGGACTGGAACCCAGAGCCTCACACACATGTGCTGCTTCCACTTATAATCACAGTCATGAGGAAAGAGTGACCTACAAAAATACCCACACTATGAGGCCCGCCCCCAGATTCAGCCTCAACTTCTATCTAGCTGGGTGACATCAAGGTAATCAAGGAACCTCTCTGTGCTATGCTCTCCATACACAAGACATCCATAGCACTGGCCCCTGAGCAAAGTTAATCATTCTCTTCAAAGCCAGGTAGAAGCCCTCCCCCGACACCACTGAGCCCCTTGTTCAAATCTTTGCTCCCGCAGCTGCAGCAGCGCCCGAGCGATGGTGATAGATAGACAGACAAAGCAGGTTCCACCCCAGCAGGCACTCATGAGCTGTGTGACTGCAGAGACGTGACCTGATCTCTCTGTCTTAGTCCCCGGACTCGTAGGATTTGTAGAGTGAGGACAGCAACACCTTCCTGGGTCCAACAGGGTGAAGGGCTACCGAACGACTGACCAATGGACCAGGTGGGCTGATGGATGGACTGACAGACTGATCCTCAAAGCAATGCCCACCCTGTATACACTCTGTCAGCCAACCCCACCTTGCACACCTGTCTGCTCAAACAGTCTCCTAAAGATCAGACAGTGAAATGCACTCCATGCTCAGGCCTAGTCATAGGTTTCAGGAAGAATGTCTCTTGGACCAGACATAATTGGGAACTGTTCCTTTGTGATCAAGATATCATAGTTAAAAGAAGAAATCCGGCTGGGCGGTGGTGGCGTACGCCTTTAATCCCAGCACTCGGGAGGCAGAGCCAGGCGGATCTCTGTGAGTTCGAGGCCAGCCTGGGCTACCAAGTGAGTCCCAGGAAAGGCGCAAAGCTGCACAGAGAAACCCTGTCTCAAAAAACCAAAAAAAAAGAAGAAATCCACCCAAAGAGATGCACTCTGAAAGTCAAAATACATTGTAGGAAATAAATTGCTCTCTGGGAGTAGCCTATGCTATCAGATTCACTGTTATGATTTGTTTGTGTTTGTTTTCCTTTAGACAAGGTCTCCTGAAACGCAGGCTGGCCTGAGGATGGCTTTTAGCTCCTGATCCCCCTGCTTCCACCTCTTGAGTGCATGGATTAGAGGACTGTACCACCACACTTACTATTGTGCAGTCCTGGGGGGTTTCAAACTCAGGGCTTTCTGAATGCTAAGAAAGCACTCTAAAACTGAGCTACATCCCCAGCCCTGAACTGCCAAGAAATTCTTCAAGTTCAAATTATTTCCCTCTAGACCAAAGGGGGCGCCACTAACCAAGCAAAGCCAGTCCCAGGCAGCTCCCAGCACGGGGCCTCTGGTGGCGAGAGAGCCCCCTGTGAGCCCCAGGGGGCGTCGGCACTGTTCATCCTGCACGCAGCACAGCGTACGCGCGGCACACGGCAGCATACATCATTTCATTCCATTCCTACAACAGTCCTGCCAATTAGACCTAATAGTCCTAATTAGCCAAGAGTTACTGAATGCAGACACTGTACCGGGTACCGTGCAGACTGCTGTGGACACGCGGACATTCCTCGGTGTGGATGCAACTAGGCACCAGACATCCTCCCTCCCATTCTGCACCAGGCAATAGGTCTAGATGCTGAGGACAGGGCAAAATCGTCTGAGAATGATCAGCCCTGTGGGGAAAGACAGGAAGAGAGAATTCACACTAAAGAAGCACAAGGTGTGGGGCTGATAGAGCAATTAGAAGCCTGGGGGAACACAAAGCAGCTATTAGGGGAGACAGCCCCACTGAGATGGCAAGATTTGGAAAAAGATACCAGAAGTCCTAATTTATCCATTGGCAAACAGCCTCAGAGAGGTTAAGTTACTGGCAAGTGGTCACACAGCAGGAAAGAGGCAAAACGAGGCAGTGAATAGCGCACATGGGGGGATGATTCTTACTAAAGATATTGAACCCTATTCCAGTAGTTATTATGATTATAAGGAAACTGAAGTATTATTTTTTAAAAACACCTTTTTGGGGGCAGAAGGGTTTCAGGCACCTCGAGCTGGCTTTCGAACTTGCTATGTGGTCAAGGGTGAACTTGAACATCTGATCTTCCTGCTTCCACCTCCTCAGTACTGAGATTACAGGCCTGTGCTACCTCACCCAGGTTTGCACGGGGCTGGGGTTCAAACTCGGGGCTTTGGGAACACTAAGAAGCATTCTACCAACTGAACTACATCCCAGGCCCCTTTTGCATATTTTAATTTTTTTAACTGCATATATGTATATCTGCAGTTGCCTGCAGAATCCAGGAGGGGGTGTTAAATCTATTTGGGGCTGGAGTAATTAATTCTCCGTGGCCTGATGTAGGTTCTGGGCACTGCACTTGGATCCTCTGGGAAAGCAGTAATCACTCTTAACTGTGCAGTCTTCCAGTCCCTCAAGTCTCTTTAAATGACTGTTAATATGGCCAGGTGGTGTGGTGTATGCCTTTGATCTCAGCACTCAGGAAGTAGAGGCAGGTGGATCACTGTGAATTTGAGGCCAGCCTGAACTACCTAGCAAGTTACAGGACAGCCAGGGCTACACAGTAAAACCCTGTCTCAAAAGAATTAATAATAATAACAATAAAAGGTGCTTTGGGTATTCCACGCTACAACTGGGTATACTGAGGCACTAGGGTAAATGCACACACAGAGTGCTTATTGACAGAACCTGACAGAGCTTGGCCAGTATGCAGCTTTTCAAAGTCTAGCTGCTAGACTGAAGCCAGTTCTGCAGAGAGGGCATTCTCAGTATCTGTGGTCCTTGCCTGGCACCCCCTTGGGCTGATGAGACATTTTTAAACCTGCCACATTAGCATTCAGTCAGAATAAAAAAATGCAGGAAAAGCTCAATTCTCCCATGGGATGCCAGAGTACGTGTGGCCCCTGCTTGTGTAATAATTACAGATAGAACACACTTGAGAAGATATTGCTTAGAAAATAAACTAAGATTTGATTGGATAAGAAGTTCAGCCCCAAAGGTGCTCCTGACATGAGGGAGGGCTGAGAAACACAGATTTGTTTTCAGGCGTGGCCAGAGAGGAAAAGCAGTCTGTCAGAAGTGTGGGTTTGAAAGAAAAAAAAAAAAAAAGGAGGCTGGGTTTGCATCTGCCCCCTATATCAATTTTGGGACAGTCCTTTACCATCTCTAGCCCTCAATTTCTTCTCCTTTTGATTGACAGTGGAAAATGCCATCATCGAGGGTGGCTGTGATGATTTCGCATAGATAAAAGAACACGAAGTTCAAGAGGAGGGCTGAGCGTGAGGCCAGGGCTCTGGGCTTAGTCATCCAGGAGAGCCGTTGGAGAGGCAGCAGCCTGCTGATCTCCAGCACAGGGGAGACCCTCACTAACTATTGACATAGTTACTGAGAGCTGCCTATGAGCTGCTTCAGTGCAATAGCTGGGACCCCAGCCTCATGACCAGGTCAGCCACCTGTTATCTCAGAGCCACCTGAGTCGTTCAATCCACTCAGAGGCTGCAGAGAAGGCAGGAGCTTCACCAGCAGACTGCAACGAGGGAACTTCTCCTGGAAGAGCCAGGAAGCCTTTGATCTTGGTAAGAAACTGCCTGTTTTTTATCTCCTTCATCTGTGGGTCTCCCTTCTATAGGGAAGCTTGCTGGCATATGTTATCCATGCCCCCATCTCACCAGCATTTATCATCCATATAGCTGCTTTGCTAGCACTTATGTATCTTCATGCAGGAACCTGCCCATCCATCAGACCGATTCTCCATCCTTTCACCTCTCTGTTTTACAAGGGAATCAGACAAACCTGGGTTGGAGCCCCGGGTCCTGCTTACTAGCCGATCCTGGGCAAATTCTGGTCCCCTCATCATCCTCTCATCTGTAAAATAATGAGCAATCAGATGTAGCAGGGACGGAGAATTAAAAGAGGGGGAGTGGGCTATCTAGTGTTTGGTCTCAGCAAATTGTCATGAAATGATCGCTCCCTGTGTTTCTGCTGCCGGGCTGGGATGGATGTGGGGAGAAAAACCACTGCGTTTTGCACGACATGTGGAGATGATGCTTTAGAATTACCTGGGATATTTCGGCTGTGGCTTGAGTACCTTGGGGAGTGGTCTGCCCTGGACACACAGCAGAGAGTGCCATCTAGTGGACCAATGCCCTGTGGGGGTCCCTGGACATAGCCCCCTGGGCTGCAGGCTGTCCCGGTTGAGATGCAGCATACGCTGTATCTAAATCACTCAGGGGCCCTGGCCTGCCAGGTGCCTTTTGTTTTGTGGACGATAGCCAGCTCTGTCTTGTATATTCAGTCCAGCTCTTTTAGAGATTTCCGGGGGGGGGGGGGGGACAACGAATAATTCAAGTAACAGCTGTTGGCTGTTGCGTCTTTTTGCTTGTTTGTTTGATATGGGGCTGGGGGATATGTATGTACCTGTTTCCAACTTGCCTGAGAGCCCTGAGAGGCATCCAAAATTAGCCCCATTTTCAGGTAGAATGTGAGGCTCACTAAGGTTGCATTTGGTTAAAGCCCTGAATTTCCAGCTGTACTTACCTCTGAGAACCCCACACGCCCCTTGAAAGTGCCAGGAAGTACTTTGGACAGAGATCTGAACAAGTCAATCATAAAAGAAATTTATTAGTCCGTCAGGAAGATTTGGACACTTCATAGAGGTTAGAAAGTAAAAGCTGTTAATTGTTTAATTGTGATAATGCTCTCACAAATATTTTTACAAAAATTGTGGTAATGGATATCATGTTTATGTTTTTATGAAGGCAAACAGCCCTTTTTCAGAGATAAACATTCTAAGATGCACAGAAGAGACAATATGATCCCTAGAATTAACTTCAAAACAGTCCAAAAGATAGGGGCTGGGGCAGTGGGAATTGAGGGAGGGTCCAGAGCTCAGATAAAGCAGAGGGCTGGATGGATTTGGTAGGCACTGCATCTAAATGAAATACAAAAGTTAAAAATGTGGTGTTTAAAAAGCGCATTGTATTCTCTCTGTGTGTTGTCTGAAAAATGCTGATATAAATGCTGGCTTTCTTTTTAATCAATAAGTAAAAATGAAGTATAGGAGGTGAGTAGAGGGGTCTAGGGAGACATTTAAAAGCTCAGAGGGGGCTTTGGGTTTACGTTAAGACTAGCAGAGTGTTGCGGGGGATTCACAAGTATCTCTGAATGGCGAAGGGACTGAAGAAACACTTACTACAAATTGGGTGGATGGACTGAAGGAAAAGTACCGCCGGTGTTGGGGGGCACTGAGGAATCAGACACCCACCAGATGCACACCACCTAGTTCCCTGCTAGCCTTCTTGCACCCCCAGACCCTCCCCTAGCTCTAAAGAGCCGACAGTTTCTCTCCCTAACGCAGAGCCCGCAGCCTGTGTACTCTCCTGCTGGGATGCTGTACCAGTTTAGTTAAGAGAACAGCACTGTCACCTGCCACACACAGTGAGTAACCAGCTCAGCCACTCTCTCTAGTTTGCTATTTTGTTTTATTTTTAATTAAGCCTCTTTGGAAAGATAAGAATTGATGCTTTTCCCCCTAAAACTGCTTGCCAAGCTTCCACAGCTGCTCTCAACCCCACTTACTTTGCTCTCACTTATAGGGACAGAAAGCTGACTCACCTTGAGTCCCCAAAACAGCCTGGTCCACTACCCCCTTATGGCTTTCCACCGCTCCCAGAGCCCCCACTTTTCTGGCCCTCCTGCAACAGCCACAGGCTCTGGCTCTTCACTCTTCCCTTGCGTTTCCCGGGCGCCTGGCCACTGCGCACTCCCTGCAAGCTTTCTCCCTTGTCTTTCATTCCTCACTCTGGAAAGCAGACGCCGCTGACAGCGCCGACCCTCAGCTGCTTGCCCGCCGCCGACCCTCAGCTGCTTGCCTGCAGCAGCTCCGTCTGCATTGCAGCACAGACTCTGAAGCGACGCTGGGACACTGCTGCCCCCCGCCCGCCTGCATCCTCCGCAGCCGCTGCAATTAAAAGCGCCACCGCGGAGAGCCCAAACACAGGTCCCTCTTCTTGTCTCCCCCTCCTCATTTAAGAATGCAAAAACTGTAGCCCAGGCAGCCCCCTTGTGGCACTTGGGGGCGCCACAGACTCTTGGCTGCGGTCTTAGGAGTCCAGACCACTTCCACCTCATGGTGAGTTGACACAAATCTTAAATGCCTTAACTCCTATCCCATGCAGAACTCTGCTCTCTACTACTTTGTAGGGGGCACCTCTCCCCTCCCTTCTCCCCATCTGCATCTCCCTCTGAAGGAAGGGGAGCGGCCAGAGTTCTCCTGTTGAATACAGCGCTGAGCAGCAAACAGGTGTCTGGCAACCCTAGCTATCATCAGAAAAGGTTATGGGAGTGGGTTATCTCTTAGAATAATGCTTGGTGCCCCTTTCTCTCAGACAAGAGTGGGACGGTCTCTTAGAATGATGCTCGGTTTCTATTTCTCTCACGCAGGAGTGGGTCATCTCTTAGAATGATGCTCAGTGCCCCTTCTCTCACACAGGAGTGGAATTGTCCCTTAGAATGATGTTTGGTTACAATTTCTCTCACACAGGAGTGGAACTGTATCTTAGAATGATGCTTGGTTACTATTTCTCTCACACAGGAGTGGAACTGTCTCTTAGAATGAAGCTAGGTGCCCCTTTCTCTCACGGGAGTGGAATTGTCTCTTAGAATGATGCTTGGTGCCCCTTTCTCTCACGGGAGTGGAATTGTCTCTTAGAATGAAGCTAGGTGCCCTCTTCTCTCACACAGGAGTGGGTCATCTCTTAGAATGATGCTAGGCGCCCCCTTCTCTCACACAGGAGTGGAATTGTCTCTTAGAATGATGCTTGGTTTCTATTTCTCTCACGCAGGAGTGGGTCATCCCTAAGACTGATGCTCAGTGCCCCTTCTCTCACACAGGAGTGGAATTGTCCCTTAGAATGATGTTTGGTTACAATTTCTCTCACACAGGAGTGGAACTGTATCTTAGAATGATGCTTGGTTACTATTTCTCTCACACAGGAGTGGGTAATATCTTAGAATGATGCTTGCTGGCCTTTTCTCTAACACGGGAGGGGAATTGTCTCTCAGAATGATGGTAAGGGACCCTTTCTCTCACACGTGAGTGGAACGGTCCTTAGAATGATGCTAGGTGCCCATTTCTCTCTCACAGGAGTGGATTTGTCTCTTAGAATGATGCTTGGTCCCCCATTCTCTCACACAGGAGTGGATCATCTATTACAATGATGCTTGGTGCCCCTTTCTCTCACACGGGAGTGGAATGGTTTATTAGAATGATGCTAGGTACTCCTTTCTCTGACACAGGAGTGGAATTGTATCTTAGAATGATGCTAGATAACCCTTCCTCTCACACACGAGTGGAATTGTCTCTTAGAAAGATGCTTGGTGCCCCTTTCTCTTACACAGGAGTGGAATTATTTCTTAGAATGATGCTAGGTACCGCCTTCGTTCACACAGGAGTGGGTCATCTCTTAGAATGATGCTAGTTGCCCCTTTCTCTCACACAGCAGTGGAATTGTCTCTTAGGATGATGCTAGGTATCACTTTCTCTCGCACAGGAGTGGAATGGTGTCTTAGAATGATGGCAAGTACCCCTTTCTCTGATATATGAGTGGAATTGTCTCTTAGAATGATGCTTGGTGGCCCTGTCTCTTACACAGGAGTGGGTCATCTCCTGCAATGATGCTGGGTACCCCTTTCACTCACAAAGGAGTGGAAGGGTCTCTTAGAATGATGGTAAGTACCCCTTTCTCTGACACATGAGTGGAATTGTCTCTTAGAATGATGCTAAGTACCCCTTTCTCTCACACAGGAGTTGAATTGTCTCTTAGAATGATGCTAGGTACCACTTTCTCTCACACAGGACTGGGTCATCTCTTAGAATGATGCTAGGTAACACTTTCTCTAAAACACAGGAGTGGAACCGTCTCTTCAAATGATGCTAGGTGCCCATGTCTCTCACACAGGAGTGGATTGTCTCTTAGAATGATGCTGGGTACCCCTTTCTCTCATACAGGAGTGGAATTGTCTCTTAAATGATGCTGGGTACCACTTTCTCTCACACAGGAGTGGAATGGTCTCTTAGAATGATGCTAGGTGTCTCTTTATCTCACACAAGTGTGGGTCATCTCTTAGAATGATATTAGGCACCCCTTTCTCACACATAGCAGTGGGTCATCTCTTAGAATGATGCTATATACCCCTTTCTCTCACAGAAGTGGAATTGTCTCTTAAATGATGCTAGGTACCACTTTCTCTCACACAGGAGTGGAATGATTGCTTAGAATGATGGTAAGTACCCCTTTCTTGGACACACGAGTGGAATGGTCTCTTAGAATGATGCTTGGTGTCCCTTTCTCTTACACAGGAGTGGGTCATCTCTTAGAACGATGCTAGGTACCACTTTCTCTCACACAGGAGTGGAATTATTTCTTAGAATGATGCTAAGTACCACCTTCTTCCACACAGGAGTGGGTCATCTCTTAGAATGATGCTAGTTGCCCCCTTTCTCTCACACTTCAGTGGAATTGTCTCTTAGAATGATGTTAGGTGCCCCTTTCTCACACACAGGGGTGGAATGGCCTCTTAGAATGATGCTAGGTGCCCCTATCTCTCACACAGTAGTGGGTCATCTCAGAATGATACTAGGTACCCCTTTCTCTCACACAGGAGTGGAATTGTCTCTTAAATAATGCTAGGTACCCCTTTCTCTGACACAGGATTGGAATTGTCTCTTAGAAAGATGCTTGGGGACTCTTTCCCTCACAAAGGAGTGGAATTGTCTTTAGAATGATGCTAAGTACCCCTTTCTCTCACATAGAAGTTGAATTGTCTCTTAGAATAATGCTAAGTGTGGCTTTCTCTCACACAGGAGTGGGTCGTATCTAAGAATGATGCTAGATACCCCTTTTTCAAAAAAAACACAGGAGTGGAATTGTCTCTTCAAATGATGCTAGGTACCCATTTCTCTCACACAAGAGTGGAATTGTCTCTTAGAATGATGCTAAGTACCCCTATTTCTCACACAGGTTTGGAATTGTCTCTTAGAATGATGATAGGTACCCCTTTCTCTCACACAGGAGTGGAATTGTCTCTTAGAATGATGCTTGGTCTCCCTTTCTCTCACATAAGAGGGGGTCATCTCTTACAATGATGCTAGGTACCCATTTCTCTCACACAGGAGTGGAATTTTCTCTTAGAATGATGGTAGGTGCTCCTGTCTCTCACACAAAAGTGGAATTGTCTCTTAGAATGATGCTAAGTACCCTTTTCTCTAACCCAGGAGTGGAATGGTCTCTTGGAATGATGCTAAGTACCCCTTTCTCTCACACAGGAGTTGAATTTTCTCTTAGAATGATTCTAGGTACCACTTTCTCTCACACATCAGTGGGTCATCTCTTAGAATGATACTAGGTACCGTTTTCACTCACACAGGAGTGGAATTGTCCCTTAAATGATGCTAGGTAACCCTTTCTCTGACACACGAGTAGAATTGTCTCTTAGAATGATGCTAAGTACCCTTTTCTCTAACCCAGGGGTGGAATGGTCTCTTAGAATCATGCTAAGTACCCCGTTCTCTCACATAGAAGTTGAATTGTCTCTTAGAATAATGCTAAGTGTGGCTTTCTCTCACACAGGAGTGGGTCGTATCTAAGAATGATGCTAGATACCCCTTTTTCTAAAACACAGGAGTGGAATTGTCTCTTCAAATGATGCTAGGTACCCATTTCTCTCACACAAGAGTGGAATTGTCTCTTAGAATGATGCTAAGTACCCCTATTTCTCACACAGGTTTGGAATTGTCTCTTAGAATGATGATAGGTACCCCTTTCTCTCACACAGGAGTGGAATTGTCTCTTAGAATGATGCTTGGTCTCCCTTTCTCTCACATAAGAGGGGGTCATCTCTTACAATGATGCTAGGTAACCATTTCTCTCA